TGTTAGTTTGGAATTAATCAAGTTTAAAGAGGGTCAAGTTCAGTGTGACTATAATCCAACTAAATCACCGTATACTACCTCATCATAAAAATGGCTTTCAATTGGTAATACTGGGCAAGTACAAGCAAGCCTGAGTTTTACTTTCTCACCATCTTAAACAGCTTAGTTTTCGAGTTCGGCTTATGTTGTGTTTTGTTCCTTAACTTCATCATAAAGAAATTGGGTCATGTCTTGAAATCTTTCTAGAAGAACAGACTCATCTTACTCTATGGTGTCTATAGCAGAGTTTATCATGAAGACATTATGAGAGACGGAGCGCTGCATATCATATGATCCCATTAACCAATACTGTACACCACCAAACCATTACAGTCTCTTTGTTTGCCTGTCCTTTCAGCAGCGACACCAGCCCTACCCTTTAAGAACAAGCTGAACAGACTTTAAAGGGGGTTTGGCTGGAACAAAAAGCATATCAGCTCTGGTGCATGCTTGCTTTGCTCACAGATTGGCCATTTCTTCCCCATTACAGCATCTCCCATCTCTCCATGGAAGTGACAATCCTCTGAAATATCACAAACACCTTTGAAGAGATGCCATCTCCGGAGTAGATTAAATGGCAGCTGAGGTCTCAAATGAGGTGCTTAAGCAGCGTGAGCCACTGCCGCCTATTGCCAAAATAGCACCCCCTCCGCTACTTCCAAAGAGCTTCTTTACCTCCATTTGTTGAAGCGGCGCTGCCATTTGGCCGTCGCCATGGAAACACTTCAACGCTGGCCCGTTAACTGCGTGGCAATAATGAAGCGCAGTGGCAGCTTTACTGACTGATTTGTCATTAATCTTAATGTGTGTCTGGCAGCTTCTCTGAACCGTGCCACAAATCAAACCATCAGTGGAAGGAAGTTACACTGACGAGCGCTCATTACTCTACTCAGTGTCACTGACGGAGCAACAGCTGATCCAGTCCTGTCAGACACATTGGGACGGTATGACACAAAACACAGCAATACCAGTGCAAAAACTATGGACAAAAACCCAAGCACTAAAGTAGTTTCCCCAGCTAATACTAGTATCCTGTATATGATGTGCCACACTATTGGTTTGGGCAGAATTATGTCTATGTAAGGCTTTGAACAGCAGTGTCATTTTCTTCCCAACTGTTTTGCTAAATAATGTACAAAATGTCACCAACTGACATAATGATTATCATCAGAACACAGACACAATTGACCTAACCTCAGGGGAGGTCAAGAATCACAACTAAAGCACTTCCCTCTACACCAGTTCCCCAAGCATTCAGTCTCCAGCGGCCCTCTCTATGTGCTGTCATGTACCTAACAAATCAGCTCGAGTTCAAAATATGTTCCAGTCGATTTGCCCCTGGATGGACTCTTCACTCCCTAATGCCCCAACCCTCCTCATCTCAAATATCGGATTTCCACAAAGACACAGGATGTAACAGTCCAGGCCACAAATATTCTCTCCGACCGTAAAAGTCAAAAAGGAAAAGAGATTGTTGGGAGTCCGGAGACATTGTGCGGAAAGCTCACTCAGACAGGTTTACTCTGTGATTACGATGTGTTTAAAGACCTCCTGGAAATGTGAGACACACCGCTGATTGAAAAGCTGCTTTCTATGGTCAGTCACCCTCGGCCTGAGCACTGTACACAAAAGAAACAAAGAGCAGGAGAGCCATCTTGGACTTGTTTTAGGAAAAATCAGTTGTATTAAACCCAGCAGCTTTGAGTTAATGAGTTATCACTGTGTTTTACAGTGGACAGATAAGAGCTTGAGGAGCTGCTAAAAATACATACATGAAGACAAGGCCGTAGATCATTTAGAGCTAAGGCACAAACTATCCTTAAAGGTACAGGATCGTCACTTGCTTGTTTCCGTGCATCTGCTATTGGTTTTCACAGTATGGAATTAGACACATATCCATCGTTTATTCAATGACCTGTGATTTTATTGCTCAAAAGTACCTTAAATAATATTAATTCTGTGAGTGGAGTCACGTTCCCACAGATCTGACTTGTAACTTTGCGCCACCTGCTTATCTTCATGGAGATAGATTAGTTTAACGTCATACTGAAGGACATTCCAGGCAATGCAACAATCCCTTCAGAGATAAATGTGTAGTGAACCCCCGACAGATAAGTTCCCTAGTGTTTCTTTAAGTGTGAAGGGAAATAATTGTGTTACATTTCTGTAGTTCCTCCTGCTGAGAAAATTCTACTAACAGTTCTAGTTTGTGGTATGAAACATTTAACCTTATATTAATAGTGAACGAGCTTTTAAAAAGCCTCTTACTTGTGGAAACATCTTTTCTTTGCCTGAGGAGAAGTGAAGTACCTCACTGCCCAGCTCAAACCACAGGTCTCATCTATCAGAGCAGGAGGGAGGAGATGGCCTGGCCCAAACTCACTGTGCACTGTGTAATCAAAGAGCTTTTAGGAGAACCTCTGAGCTTTGAAGCCACGTCCGTATCAGGAGATAGCAGTGTGATTTATGGGAGCTGCTCGCAGGCATTAGGCTAAATGAACACAGGAGAGGGCTTCCACCGTGATGCATGCCCCCGGTCCACGCCAAAAAGTGCTTCTTCTCATCTTTTAAGTGTCACTTTCCGCCTGCCATGAATCACGCACTCACGGAGATTTAAACAGCATTTTTAAACCAGAGCTGGTTTTAAAGCTGCAGGAGGCAATATATTACCCACTCGGTTGGACTTGACTAGGCTTCCAACTGAATTTACGAGTATATGGTTTCAAATGTCTTCTCAGTTAAATTTAAGATGATGTTTCTTTGACAGCTCAGAAAAACTAAGAATAACAAAGATGCGTTACTTCAGAAAAACATGTGTGAAAGCCACTTCAAACATAACAACAGAAGTTAATGTAAAATGAAAACCATAAAAACAAAGAAAACAAAATCATTTAAGAATTCTATAAAAGACAACACTGATTTTTTAAGTCAAAGAAATTAAAAAATAAATAAAAACAAAGTGAATTCTCTCCAAATTTTCCACTTTACATTCTGGGTTTTCCAAGGCATGAACCCCAATTTGTCAGTACAGTAGCTCTGAGGCACTATTTGCTCTGCACCAATCAAAGAGAAAAGTTTGTACTTTACTGCCCCCTGCTAATTCAAGTTAAAATAATAGTAGTTGCCAGTCACATAAGAGTATTCATAAAGTGTCAGTAACCTGGTGTCAGTCAAAGCACAGTGGCTACCCTTCCTGTTCACTGCAGCACAGGTTGGAGCTAATAAAACCGGAGCTCATATAAGGTCCGTGGCCCACAGCTGAGTGAGCACTATGGGAGCACTTTATTATTCCTTCTGCCGTCATCTTTTATTTCACATCATAATCAGAGCGCGCACGCTTCCTCTCGCTTCTGCTCTGTATTCATTTGCCATAACGTTTCATATAAAAGTCACTTCACAGCTCAAACTTGGCAGAATTTTGAAAAGAATGACCTTATAAAAACTGCATATAAATTAGAAGAATATTTATATAATACAGGAATAAACTGTTAGCTTATGTCAGCTCAGCCACTATAGGGGTCAGCTCCAGGCACAAGTGAACTCAAGTGTTCCTATTAGAGTGCAAGGTTAATTAAAATCCAGTGGAAATTGCAATTTGAATCGTCGCAATCAGCAAGATTATTTAAGTCCTTTGTGAATACTAGCAAAATATCCGGTCTCCATGGGATCTTATGTAGAAAACCTGCTATGCTTGTAGTTTAGACCTTCACAAAGATGGTCTGAAATGCATGGGTTAATACTTGTGGACTTGATTTAAGATGTGCACAGTGAACTAAAGCTTTGTTTAAAAAGCACAAATTTAATCAGAACTTGTGAAAAAGAGTCTTCTTTGTGTCTTTCCCAACTTACCTTGTGTAGTAAATTGAATTATTACATTTTCTATCCTAAACAAATATTCAATTTTCCAAGATCAAGTCAACAAAATCACATTTCTTATAATATACAAGTAATTTCCCCACAATGATATCTAATGTGTGAAGTTGTAGCAGTGGGTCACATTAAACTCTTGATCAGGATAACAGACTGAAACTCTAACACTAACAGTTCTGCCCAGTCTGCAACAAAAGAGGCAATTATCTATGCAAGACAGTAAAAAACGATTAGAATGCATCACATCAGCAAGTCAAATAAAGATAGGGAGACCAAATTGATTTTAGACGTACAAACTGAAAACTCAACACAAAGACAAACTTTCACAACCTTCATCTATAAAAACTATGCTTTAGAATTACAACTTCTCTGACAAAAAAACACCAACAGTTAATTTACTTAATTTAAAAACATGATTTGTACATTGTGAAATAAAACAGGATTAAAGAACAGTGTACCAAAACATAATCTAGTTCGTAGTTGAGTATTTTTATTTCAAACTTAACACTTCCCAAAACCACTGGCACATGCTGACCTGTTAAAAAGCACAATTACCAATGAAAAACTTTTAAGAATGTCATTAACCTTAACAACATGTAGCTCCACTACTACTCAGAATGGGCCACATGCATGCATTCTTTTGACTTCAAACTTCAAAGACTCCTCTCTCTCTCTCTTTCTCTCTCTCCTTTACTCCCCCTGCTTAAGAAGAAATAATTGGCTACAGTGCTGCAACAATTTCAAAAACATATCAATACACCACGGACTGTTTTGCCAAAGCGCGACAAGGCTCCACTCTCTATGCAATGGTAGTCAATGTCCTCGGTGATGCAACCCCATGGACACATTCAACAATCTCCCTCCATCATCCTGCAATAGATTTCCATGCTATGACAACAATGCTGAAAAGTGAGCCAGAGTGAGTGGATAAATAGGTTCTAAAGCAACTGAATAAGCAATGGTCCTCTCAGGTCATATAGGTCAGTGCTAACAGCCTGCCCAAGGACAACTGTTCCAAATCATCTCTCTCACAGCTGTAATGCAAAACAACAAAATAAACAGCATAAAAAAGGAACAATCGTCATCCTTACCTCTTTTTGGTTTGGGGAAACTTTCGTGAAGGTGAAAAACCACTTTCTCCACAAAGTGCTGGATGTTGCTGTGCCCCGGACCGCGCACAAACACCATCCAGTCGTGGGTGAAGCCTTCCACAGTGGGTTTCTTCCGGACCTGGGCTCGATGACCAAGTTCTAGTTTCACCTGGACAGCACCCTGGAAATGCGAATGGAAAATGAGCTGCAGAGAAATGCCACATTCTGAATAGATTTTAAGGTATGGTTGAGAAGCATGATGGACATGGATACCATAGTTCTACTTATTAGGTTAGGAAAAAAAAAACTGTAGTAAACTGTCTATGATTAAGACAAGTTATCGTAAATGGAAAATGGGAATTAATAAATGCAATGTTCTGCTGTGTCCGAAATGACTGAAGGGGCTGCAAGGAAATCACTCCAAAAGTTGACGTACATGAAGTACAGTAGGCTATGCACAGCCCCAAACAGTAAAATGCTAATAAAAGAAACGTAAACAGCGTAAATCCGGGGAAGTTGTTAAAAAGTCCACGGTGCACATGTAAAAAATAGATCCCCTTGCAGACACTCGCACGCATGTATCGGCTCAAGCTAGCAGCGCCGTTTGCAAATCCTCTTTAGTAAAAAAAAAAAAAAAAAAAAAAAAAAAAATACACAAGAGTCCACGGTTTGCAGCGAAGCAGCAAAATGTCCCGATAGTCCACGAAGCCAGGCGGGAAAGCATGGCGCACGGAGGGTAACTTACCGAGCCGGCCATCCTCGAGGCCCTGCGTTACTGTTATTTCATGGAGAATTAGTTTGGAACAAGAGCAGAGGTGAGTACAGTTTGCCTATGACGGCGGACATGGTTCTCCTGGACTCAAGTCACACTCAAGACTTTCAAAGCCTCACCGGCGGTCACATCCCCGACACCACGAGGACTGCTTCCGGCGCGGCTTTTCACAATAAAGCAAACTACAACACAAACTACAAACAAACACGTGGAGAAATATTGGGAAGGAGTACCGAGGAGGCAGTATGTCTACATGATTTAATGTTATGAAAACGAAAATATTAATATCATTCAGAACTGCCCAATATTGATCTAGAGACAAGGAGAGCATTATGTGGTTGTATTTGAAAGGTGCACTCGCCCATTCTGGAGGAGGGTCAGCAACCTGCTTGTCTCCTTGTAAATATTCCTTGATCCCACAGATGGCATTAAACTTTACATCCCTTTTATTAGAGATGTCTGACCTGTAACTTGGTATAGTTTCTACTTGTCTTCATGGAGATAGATAAGCAGGGGCAAACCATGGGGCAAAGTAACCCTCCACCAGAAAAGGTACACTAACCTGTAGGCTATGTTAAATATTTCTGTAATTACTGGACATAATCATATAAAACTGGCCAAATGTTTAACATATGTAACCACAGAACAGTAAGGGAAAAGTATTAATTTACTGTCAAGAAACATTCAATGCCACCACTGTACTGTACTGTATTTCATTATTTCTTTACAAAATTGTTATCGCCTGTACAGGATGTTGGGCTGGCAGCTGCTTCCAGTGAAAATGATGACATGACATTACAAAATATTGAGAATGCGCTTATTATGTGATATTAGTCTATTATTACCATAGCCTGTGATTTAATGTATTTTTTGTCAAGAAACTTCAGACAATAAGCTGCTCAACTGACTGCATTTATGGTTGAGGGTGAGATTGACCTACTCAAACATTTTGGGAAATTTTGCCTTATGCCAAGTGGAATTGTATTGTGTGATATTGGAGAGTAAACAAACGCTGGCAAACAAAACATAGAAACAACGCCTACAAAAGTATATTTGCTCATGGGGTTGGTACATAAAGTCCATGTTGCTCTTTTAAACATAGTTTCGGAGCCCTTTAATTGTTAAGGGAGAAAGTTGTGGTTTCCGCTCACTCTGTGGTAGAATCCGGGTAACTTTACATAAATAAAGGTGTAACGCACGCGCAGTGTGGGGGCTGCGGGCAGAGCACGAGTCGATAAGAGCCAATCAGGACGCAGCAGACTGGTTCAGTGATCCAATCAGACAGACACGTCTCTGCTGTAATTGTGTTGCCTTCATTTCTCTCGGGGGACCCCGGTGAATGAAGCATGTGTTAGCAGTTTAGGCAGTGTTGTTCTCAGGTAGCCCACAGTGCCCACTAAGCTGTTTTGTTCAAAATATGTCTGCCATAAATTGTAAACCACATTTCACACGCTCTTATAGCTTAATGTGCACGTGTGCTGTAAAAGACCGTGAGATATAGATTGGTCATAGATTATCAGGTCTGTGATGGATAAGCACAGTACAGTGTTTATTCACTGTACAGTACATGCTCATATCTTCCTCATATTTGCATGTTTCAATCGTCCACGTGTTGTGTACCTTTGCCCACTCCGCCTTGTACAGGGCTTGAAATATTAGACGTAACCGGCTTTCATCATAAATTGTATATTAAGTAAAACACATGTGTCACGAATTGCCCTAAAACACGTGTAAAACAAAAATATATTTGTATTTTTTTATTTTTACTGCGTGACTAATTATGATTCGCGCGTATGTATTTTGGTCCTCTCCGCTCGCCATACAGTTGTACCGCTATCCGCAGACTTTGGATGAAGGAGGTAAAACTTTGAGCTCCTCTCACCGACTATATAATTTATGATTGTTATAATTATTTAAGTACCGTGACCCTGGGCTGTCTTCACTACGAAATACTTTCCGATCGTTTTTAATTCAACACATAAGCTAAAACAAACACATTATTACGCTGTAGCTACTATTAGCTGTTTGCTAACTGCAGAAAGTTGCTCAATTTTAGTCCAGTGTAGCCCAAAGAAATGTTATTTACTCATGTTCCAGCATGTGTTTGCTTTGTTGTGTGGTGTTACTAAACTGCATATTCCTTGAAGTTGTGTTATTGGAAAATTAACCACATAATAGTTATACTGAGAAAAGAACACTGAACTTCTAGTAGATAAACAAAGCTCTATCTTAAATTTCCAGGTTACATATTGCACATTTTTGATCAATATTAGTCCTGTAGGAGCTGTTTTGTGTCTTCCATATCATGTCATTGTCTACAGTCATATAATATTGGACATTTTGGACATTTGAGACATTACTTTTTCTAGTATACTGAAGAAACCAACTATTCTTATTGTAATTGTCACCCTGTACATCCTCCTTTAAAAAAAACTTTATGTGTTGTTTGTCAGATAGTTGATCAGACACTTTCTTTTGCTGGAGCAATCTGGAGTTTCCTCTTTGACATGAAGGCTTGTTGCACGTAAAAATCCTTGAAAAGTACCACCACACGCCTGTTTGGCATGTGCAGTTAAACCAGTCCTGGGTCCATTCTAAAGCCCTTGTCCACTCAACACTGTTCACGCTTTGTCCTTTTGTTCTATTCCTAATGCAGACCTAGCAGTACAGGCTGGTTCATATTGTGTGGCTGTAAAGTAAAAATGTTGTCGAACCCACTGGAACACAACCTAGATTCTAAAAAACAAAGATATTAATATTAATATATCTTGGGGTAAGTTGCAACATGAAATGACATTTTTAGTTTGGCAAAGCAAAACCATATTGTGTGAACTATTTACATTCTAAACTTGTCAAATTGGCTCTACATTAGCTTATATTGGCGAGTTAAAAGACAAACATAAACATATGTTTCAGAAAAAAATAAAAAGTTGAATGTCATATGTGTTGGTTCTGGTGGCTTACCCGTGTCTCCACGAGGTTGCGTGTAGCAATGGCAGCAGTACACAGTGTTCGGACCAGGTGGCTGGACAGTACAGCACAGCACTATGGCTTATCAGTGAGATAACAGTGGGGGGTTAGTGGGCGAGCGCGTGTCTATGGGGAGGAGGTCGACCACACCAGGCTCATATTGCTACTGTTTTTAGTAATCTAAGAGCATTATATCAGTTTACAAGCCTCTTAAACAAACTCCTGACTGTAAACAGTATTTGATACTGTAGGGTGAAGATGTTATGACTTCATGAAGCCTGATAATGCATTTCTGCGTATTTAATAATTTTTTTTGTTAGAATTTAGGGGAAAGGCTACCCATTTGTTTGTTTTTTACACATGTGGATGGATTTCATTTTGTAGCTCTACTCTTAATTGCTTACATTTTGATTCATAGACATGTTAATGAGAAAATGTTCCATCTCAACTTGTATATAAAAAAAGCAAAAGAAATACATCATCTGTTATTCTGTTGTCTGCGCTTGAATATCATTTTGCAAATAGGTCAAATGAGTTCAGTATAGTACCATTGACTAAAAGTACAAGGCAACACTCAAGGTTACACTCTAACTAAATATCAACCTACCATTTTACTCTGAACTGATATATTTAAAAATATACATATATACTGTCTGAACAGAGAGCTAAGATAGCTAGTTATTAACTTTTTGATCACACTTTTAAACGTAAATGCAAGTTGAGCTTATTCTGAACTCATTGTCAAGTAAGATTCTTAATTGCCATAGAGATGTTTTGGCCTTGTCTGAAATGCTCCACAGTATTTCATTATTTTAAACCAGCAATCAAATACATATATTGCTGTAGAAAATATCTTGAAAAACCATTGTCCAATGTTGTTGAAATCCTATCTCCATAAATCTGGAGTTCTGGACCTGTAACTTGGACTGGAGGGCTAAGTTCTGGATCATATAATACCAAACTGTGGAACATTCTTTGTCAAGCAATAATATCTCCATGGGCATGACCTGGTGACGTACCCTCCACCAGAAGTGTTACATAGTTCTGTCCTATCCTCATATCAGTGTTTTGCTTATGGACTGGATTGTGTTTTTGAAGTTAGAAATACCATATGCCATATTCACTCGTCCTAAATGGACCTTAGAGGATACAGGGTCTACACTGTGCACAGAGGCAGGTGTGTGGGGCGCTCTCGTGGGAGGGCAGGCCTGTGATTGCCTCAGGGCTCTAACATGGTAATCCGGATGTGGTTTTGCTTTGCAAGATTCCCAGTACTTAAAAGAGAAACAGAACACAATACTTGCATGCTTCTAATGTGTTCTTAATAGAGGATTTGGGTGAATCTCTTGCATTACAGAAAAAAACAAAAGGAATTCCAATCATGTTGAGGCTGCCTGTAGCACCACCACCACTACTACTACTTCTACTTCTGCTGCTAACTTGTACTATTATACTGATACTACAGCTACACGAATATCTTCAATATTACTCCCAACTTTTTACGCCCAACATTTTTACTTCACCTAACTGAAGTATAAAAAGAATGCCATGGAGTTTACTTTATTTCACTGTATAGATTTAAAAGAAAGTGCTTGCAATCCCAAATTCTTCCCAGAAATCGTCTTTTAACTTCCGTAGCAGCTGTGTATTCTGAAACAACTGGTGGTCTGCTGTAAACCATATTGTCTGACCTAATGAGACAACATGAGATGGGCGGGTGCGCGGCTTAGCACCCTGTGACCTCATCAGCAAGCTGGTCTACTCTCCTGACTGGTAAATAATTTAATGCAGAATTATGTCCATGGCTCCTCCAGGTCAATAATGTGATAACTTTGCCGGGATAGATTTTCAAAGGGGCCGAGAATACCTCCAAGCACTGCCTTTCCTCTCCGTTAGGAACAACAGGTGGCTGCATCGCTGAACTGGTGTTTCAAAGCCACACTGACTGATATGTGATAGTCTTGAGTTGAATGCAAGGGTATCACTGAGCGCGAGCTTCAAAAATGTCTTTCAAAATTCGAACAAAACGACTGAAAGACATGCATGTGCCGCTGTTATCGCGTATTGTTTGGATGGTCACAGTCTGATAATGTGGCCAGATGTCAGAGTAAACTAATGCTAACCGTATGCTGTTGGGTATTTCTGTTTTTCAGGCATGACCAGCACAAATAATGGAGAATTTGAAGACACGATTTGATTTTCCCAACCCAGTCATACAAGCTCAGGTAGGATTAAGAAACGCTCTAGTGGAAAAGTTTTTATTATAGCTTTTATTCTAAATAGACAATATTTCATCTTGTCTTTATGTGTGTAAAGAATTTAGTTTTTGTATATGCACAACATGAAGTTCAAGAAGGATTATTTATAGATATGGAATCGTCAGTGGCTATGTTCACATGCACACCAATATTTGATTTATTATCTGATTTCTGAACTTTTAAGATGATTTAAATGACATGTAAAAAACAAAATCTGGTGTGAGTAACCAGAGTCACCATGATCAGAAATAAATCTGATAATTTAGTTGTTTTACACGTCATTTTAATAATAATATATATGTGAAAATCTGATATTAATCTGATTTAGAGTGTGTATTTAACCCCAGCCACTGGTACAGATACAAAAACTATTCCTCTTTTTCATGTGCTTATGTGTTTTGTTGTAGAATGTGCGAAATCTTGTTGCTGCTGTTCTCAAGGAAAAAGGGCAGAACAGACAAATTAGTCAATCCTCCAGTCAGGTGAGTTTTTTTTTTTTTTTTTTTTTTTTTAAGAAGAAATGTTCCTATTCAGTGTTTCTTTACACTCAGGGACATTACGGGATGTTGTGTGTTGTCTGATCAGGGCCCTGCGTTGGAGACCCTCTGGCAGCAGTGTTCTGGTGAGAATGACCTGGTGCGGAGCGTGTGCTGTGAGGCCCTGGTCCTTCTGGTGGAGCAGGGACACGCAGATCTGCAGTATGTGCTCAACGGAGTCCTCAACCTCCTGCCCTCTGCCAGGTGCACAAACACTACACTGTACACATACAAATATACACAAATAATGCATTGTCAGCTTTTGCATAGTTTTTAAATTCAATACATGCTGCTAATCTTTATTCTACATTTAAGTCCAGTTGAAAAAATGTGCTTGTCTTTGGTCTCAGAAATGTCCAGGGGCTGATAAAGGTGACTGGCCAGTTGTTGCAAATGCAAGCGGACCAGAGAGACCCCAGTAAACCGTTCACCTGTCCGTACTCAATCAGGTCAGTCCCATAGTAATGTGTTTTTCATACTAATAGACATTTCACTTTTAGAATATGCATGAGAGCCACTTTTAGCCTCAAGCTTTGTATTGTAAATAATTATCCAAATATTGTAATCCATTCTAATATTTGTATGACATGTTTTCCTTTGATGTTTTGTACGATGCAGATATTGATCACAGAAGAGGCTTTTGTCTGGACTCTAGTCTTGTCTGTTTGTTTGTCTAGCCGTAGTAACAGTAGTGCTGCTGTGTCAGACTGGCCGGTTGAATACTGTGACCCCCCCTCCTCTTGTCCTCCTGCTAGCTCAGACCGCCACCTCTGCCAGGATCCCAGGGCCTCCTTAATCAGTTCCAGCGGGTGATAAAAAAGCCTAAGCCCCTCCTGCCTGCTCCCTCTCTCTGGACCTCTGATACTCTTACCTCTTTTTTTTTCTTGGACCCGTCTTATCCAGTGCGTCTCTGTTCCCTCTCGCGTCTCTCCTTCCTTCCCATTGTCCCTTCCCTTCTCATTCCATCTTCATCTGTGTCTGGGTGTCTGTGGCTGTCTGGCGGAGTGCCCCTCCCTGAAGGGAAGATGAATGTGCAGGGGGCAGCGGGGTGGCGGCGTTGGCCTGGCAGCCTGGCCCTTCATTGGCTCCTCCGGCCCGGGCACTGCTGGGTAACTGTAAGTGCTGCGGGATTAATGGAGGGTGCACACTGGTGCCCATTGTTGACCGTCTGCTCAGCGCTGCCCCATGCAATCTGCCGCGAAGAGCACATCGACTTTAGCCCTCAGCGGGATCAGGGCCGGACCACGGCTGTGGCCAGTCTGTCTCACTGTCTTTGGGCTTTCTTAAAAACATAACATGGACTTCAGACGTAACATTGGGCTGTAGGCGTTGTTCCATCTTGTGTTCATTGTGACAACTCAAGTTACTGTCCTACAATAAAAACAAGACTTTGAAATCTTGTATCCAATTTAGCTTTTACAAAATCTAATTAAACAAAGTGATGTGTCTTTCTCACTACTCTTTAGTCTGTGGCCAAACAAAGCAAAATGGATTCATATGGACTGAATGGTTAATGCAGTCATAATGTTTTAAAGTCCTGCGTAATGGGCAGATTTTAGAGTTGTGTGTACTTAAAGGGACACATTACGTAAAACCATGTTGTTTTTTGATTAATGATTTTTCTATTGACCTGCATTTGAGGCGTAAGTGCTCAGAAATCTTTCATTTACACCTGTCCTCTATCTCCTCTCACTTCTCTGTACTTACTTGGAATTATTCAAAAAATTCTGTCTCCAGATCTGACGTGTAGGGTCCAAAGATGTCTCGGAATTATTTTTCAACTCTTCAGTTCTGCACTTTTGGACAGGAGGATGATCAGCCTGTTCCTATTATGAAGCCATTTTAGATCAGTATTGTTGTTTACAATGAACAAAATGTTAAACAAGGATTTATACATTTATCACTGAATACCTTCCTATCCAAACATATTTTTATAATAGCGTATGCACTTGTTTGGTTCAGGCATAATTGCTCCTGGCCTGTTGGTGAACTTGGAGTTGAACGATAAGGGAACTGGCTCTGTCTACACTTCCTGCCTCCTTCTTTGTCCACTTGCCTGAAGGTGGGGAAGGCCTGGGGGGGTTCTGAAGGATGAGAGGTGCAGAGGAGCTGAGGGGGAACCTGAGGAGAGGGGACGAGATGGTCAGACAGATTACATCTCCAGCAGACAAAGGGGAGGGGGCTAGTTTAGGTCTGGGCCACTGCACAGGCATTGACACGTTAGCCTCTGTAGCTTCCGTCTCACATGTGTGGTGATGGATCGATACCATTGCTAAGTATAACCGCCGGATCACCTTCTGACCCATTTTAAGTGACCCCAACTTGATCAGAGCAGAAGCCAAACAGCTCTTCACCTTGGATTTGACCCCAGTGTTTGTGTGCTGCTAATGGCTTGGCAAATTAGCAAAGTTGATGGTCATGGTTTTTGCCTTGTGTTTACACTGAGCGGACAGGCTGGTCAACACAACCAACAGGTCTAAAAGGGGTTTCATTTGTTATAAAGGACAGTTTTAAAAGATCTTCCGGAAATCTGGAGGATGTTCGAACAAATCCTGCAGGTAGTAGTACTTTTTTAGAAGAGCATTTTAAATTATTTGCTTAACCCTTGCCCGAAATCTTGGAATCAATATTCAATCTTAACTATATTAAAAACAGTATTGAAAGTAGATACTCATTTGTACAAGTATTGATCACACTTTCGTATTCATTACATCAAAATTGTAATGCTGGAACCAGGACCAGAACAGGACCAAACTAATTCTTCATTTGGATTTAAACCAGAAAAGGTGTGAACAGACTAAATATACAAATCAAAACATCTCTCTTGTAAATGTCTTGAGGTTGTGCTATAACAAAATTGTTATAAGACCCAGGGTTCCCACGGTCATGGAAATCCTGGATAAGTCATGGAAATTGAAAATGACATTTTCTAGGCCTGGGAAAGTCATGGAATTTTGTAAATTCAATTAAAGTTTTGGAAAAGTCATGGAATTTTAGAATCTCTTTCACACCACTACAGCATTCTCTTAAGTTCTCATTAGTTTATTATGATTATTTCTGAACGTATATGCATTTTGTTTAAAAGAGACGACAATAAGTGCACTGACAGTAGGGATGTAACAATAACCGAAATATTTTGATATTCGTATCGCCTGAAGACTCACAATAATATTGAGAGCTGTCACAATATATCGAATTTTAAGTTCCTTTGCTTAAATGCGTTGTTCTTTAGTAGGAACAGCTACTAAACATCGGGAACTACATATCCCATGATTCATTTCAGCACAGACAACATGAAGAAATATGGTTTTACTTGATTATACTATATATTATACTATATACTATCTTGTCAAGGTATTTTAAAAGCAAAAAAGTGTCCTATCTAGAATTATATTTGACACTCCAAATTATAATAAATATCCTACCGTGAGATGCATATCGTGATAATATCGTACTGAGAGATTTGGATATTGTTAAATCCCCAATTGTCAGTATTTTGAACGTTAAAAAACTATGATACCAAATCATAAGGTGAGTGGAAAGAGTTATCATTTCATATTTAGACCTAAAAGTCTGATCAATCCTACACATGTAGGTTCTGTAAAGTCATGGAAAATTAACTTTAGGTCATGAAAAATCATAGAAAAATTTTGAAATTTTGTCAGTGAAAAAGAGTGGGAACCCTGATAGAGCTTTTTGCCTGGAAGCGAAATCTAGATTGAAATTTTAGCATTGGTGCAACACTAGAAGAGTAACAAATAGCAGTATCGGAATCAATGCATCCCTCATTAGAACTTCTTACAACCTTTCACCAAGGCATTGACTGTATATTGCAACATATTAAACTGAACTCTCCTAAATATATATTTTTGCTCTTGATAACTGCGACTACATACCTACTTTTAATTAAATCATTAAACCATGATTTTTTTTTCTGTTCATGGACATGTAGCAAAGCCTCTTTTATGAAAGTAGAGTTTGACTACCCACAAAAACAACATGTGTGCCAAGCTTAAAACTCTGTTGGTTAGTAAGGCTCTTTCCACTATGTTTAAAAACCTGTACCAGTCCCAAGGTGAACGCCTCATCTATATTTATGTCCTGCATTTCCTGAATATGGGTTTGAATTGTGGCTGTGGATCCCAGTGTGAACATGGCCTCTGCTCTGTCCCTGTTGTGTTGCAGGAGTAGCCCACATCCATACATCACAGCTCTGGAGAACCGCGAGGACTGCTGGGCCGCTCTGCTCGTGGAGATTGATGACTTCATACGACGAGCCGTTGACAGGCAAGTGCAGCCGCGGCAACGGAAGCCTTGAACCCACCTTCCAACCACTCCCTCCCGCTCCGCATGAATCTTAAACGCCATCTGCAAAGAGCGCAGCCTGACATATAACTCACTAGCCACCTGTCTGAGAATAATGTGAAGTAATTGAATGTACAGGCAGAAGCAAAAGAGCATGTGAGAAATGAGGTTACTCTGCAAGGACCATGTGAGTTTTAGGGAGGTACTGACTGCTGTTATTAATGGCAAAACTACATTCAACACTGATATTAACCTGAAATGAAAGCTGCACTATGTAACTTTTCTAGTGGAGGTTCTGATAACCAAGCCAGGCTGGTGCCACCTAGTGCCTCCACTCAGTTTAATTTCTCTCCAGCGCCTAGGTCAGGAATCGGAATACACTAGATCAGGGGTCTTCAACCTTTTTCCTCCGGTGAACAACCTTTACAAAACAAAAATGCCAGAGAGCTACTCATTTTACCGACTGCAGTTAGATAAAACATCAAATATAAACCATTATTTATTTATGAGTACACAAAATCAGGCATCAAAATGATAGTTTTACAATTAATAATTAGCAATAGACATTTAATTCATCAAATTTGAATTATTCAGGACAGTACATGTAATTCAGAAATCCCTTGGCGAGCTACTTGAAAGGGGGTGGAGAACTACTGGTAGTTCCTGAGCTACAGGTTGGAGATGCCTGCACTAGACATTTTGCAAGAACCCTGGAAGTGCGAGTCTGGGCACCAGCCAATCAGCAAAGAACCATACGTTGTGTGTTGGCAACAATTCCCAAGATCGAGGATTTAAAGCTGGAACAAAGAGAATGTTTGGTGAATTTAACAGGGGGATAGATGTTATTACCCTTCTTCCTTCAGGATTAGGGAAAAACTTAATATACCAGTTACCCCTGTTAGCAGCGCATTACATACGCCACAACCAAATAGCAGCGATTGGTTAAATAAAAAAGTACCTGCCTACCGTCGAGTGAACGAATTCTAATGCCGCGAGGTCAGACGGTTTCCACGAAGTGAAATCTAACCTGCTTCTTCCAGTTCCACAGTATTTATTGTGGAGACAAATAGATCTTTGGAAAGGTCACCACTCATAGTAAGAATAAATGTTTGTCCCATGTATTTTTGAGTAATGCCACAAATTGGAACATTCCAGGTAAAGCAATAACATCTCCAGGTGGCAGATACCATCCAGTAAAATTACATAGTGCACCGTTAATCAATAGCACTGTATTTTCTAGACATTGAGAGTATAAGTCAAATGTACAATAGTTCTGTCCATATTTTTTATTTGTCGTATTTTCGTGGTTTGGTTCTATATGCGATTGAAATTAAATTTCCATTTAGCAAACACTGAAAATATTAAACAAGTATGACGTATCTGACCTATATCTTTATGCTAATGAAAGTACCTGTGTTTTGCTCTAGAAATGAGCCAGCTTACATCACCATGCTGGTCCCTTTCCTGCGTTACTTATACTGTGAGCCCCAGAGGCTTTCCCAGCATGCACTTCTGCGACACAATCTTCTTCGGGTTCTCCTTCCTGCGAGCCCAGCTGTCGGAGTTTCTGAGAATAAAGATGAACAGAGCAGCTCCTCAGTGTCTGACAGCCTCCTGCAGTGTCTGTGCCAGCTGGTCTCGCACATGCAGGTACGAGCTTACACAGTGTACACAGGGCCCAATGGCTTTATTTAACTGTAAGTGTATGTGTTTTCAAAGCCCCTTCTGTATGTAGCATCTTCAAAAGTGTTAATTCTTTTTTTTTATGAGGACACTACATTCCCAACATATAATTATAGATTCTCCTTGTTTGTGCCTTCACTACAAAGTATCTATCTGCTAGTGTCCTGTTACTAATACTAGAGCTTTGAAGGTCAGTAACTTTACATTAAGTGTCAAAAAGTAATCAAAAGAGCCGTAGAATAATCTGATAAGATGCTGGGTAACTATGGGTAAATATCACTCTACCAGATATCAATGTAATGACGTGCGAATCTCACAATACAATATTTATTGCAATATTTTCAAGATGTTAATCGACACGCCTTTGGTGCTATGTTACTGTCATAGACCAAAGAAATAAGAAAGAAAAGTTCTTTGTAACAGATCATAACAGATAAGTTTTTCATACTGTCGGCATTGAAATGGAACAAAAGATCATGGATATGATATCACGATATATTTTGGTTATTGTTTCATCCCTACACTCTATAGTTGCAGACTACTTTTGAATTAATACCAAATTTAAACTTTGCATCTTAAATCTCCATTGTTTTAACATCAAGATAGTGAGAGAAATACAGAGGAACCACAGGTTTTACGTACATATACAGCATTTTAAAATGTTAAATAAGTAATGTGCTGATCCAAGCATGTTATGGAACCTTTAAGACCCTGCCCAGACTCATATTTAAGTGTGGTAATAAACTTTGCTTCCAGTCAGTCTTGTTAACCCACTCATAGACTATGTATAGTATGTTTACATGACCTTCAAGCTATGGTGAAACAAGAACTGTCCAAGTTCCAAGGCCTGTATCTACAGAATGAGTTGCTAGTATTACTGCGTTTACTAATTCACTGACCATCACTGTTAGTGCCATTGCCTCACTCATGATAAAATGTATCATAGAATTATATGTATCTTCCTCAGATGGACAGTGTAGAGGCGTTGCTGGAGCTGCAGGCCTTCGTCAGCGCTCTTCTTCAAGGTCTGGCTGGGGCGTCTTCAGAGCGGTGGGAGACAGAGAAGGGTGGACTGCTGCTCCAGCTGCTGTGTGCCTGCCACTGCTGCCTCCACTTACATGGGGACTGTAGACCCATGCTCCAGCTTATACAACAGCTGCTGTCTGCATGTCAACAGGTTTAACACTACGGGTCTTTCAGGCTCTTTTCACACTACTGTCTTATGTTTTCATAATAGACTGCTAAAATGTCATTTCACAAAATTGCACTCTTGTCAAGTATCATTTGACCTGTTTGACTTTTTGAATTCTAGTGTTGATTATTAAGTTGCTGCTGCCATTTTTACATCATTGTTATTGTTAGACGAGATACCATTTGGACTAGATATGAACTTCCTTTTGCACAATACGCAGTTCATGGTGGGTCCATACAGTTTAAGTAAAGCAAATGGACCCATTAATAATGCATTGCAGTCTACTTAACTTCCTGTTTCTCATAGCACACATGGTTGTTGCTTAGACTAAAATGCAAACAATGTATGACTGACTGAAAACAAATCCATATTCAGTATAAATAACAGGGTAAAAAGAGGGTACATATACAGAACACAGATGGCATTGTAATTAAAGCATGCATTCAGATGTATGCAGTGTTCTGATCATTTTGTGACAGTCATGCTATTGTGTTTTAGGAGGTGCCAGTTGACGAGTTGATGATGGGAGTTGCGTTGCTTCTGTTGGAGGCTCCGGCCGCTCAGCAGAGCAGCCTCCTCAGTCTGGGTGAGCATCTATAGGGACCCACTGCAGGCTACATACTGTTCATTATATTCATCAAACTCATGACAGAGTGCTACACAGGCATGCAATTACTCCTGTCTCAACCTGCTCCTACAGGTTCTCCAAACTTTTAATTACAGGCAGCTGCTGAACAGAGGACTATCAGTACCAATCTATATTGCTACAATGTTTTAGTGTCAGTCACTGTATAATCATAAATCACAAGTTGTTTTACTGCACTTTCACTTATAAAAGAAAAAAATTAGGCTCAGAAATGTGCCCATGAATGCATCATATATGTTTCACATCAGGATGAACCAACCATAATGACCATAATTTTGCAATAAACAAGGAATTAATTGATTGATTTTAAAGTAAAACCAGGAAGACTTTTGGCCCATGGCAAGATAGGGAAAGTAGAAGATTTTGATTTAAAACAACTGAGTACAATATTTGACAATGAATAAACACATACAGGTATTCTTTCCTATTATTGACCTGCACTCGTCTAGTGTTTGCCAGAATAATAATAAAAAAAAAAAATACATGTTCGATGCCAGTTGTCCAATTTGTCCAACATGTAACTTAATCATTACATAAATGATGGATGATTAAAATGTACTTGCTTATCTGCATTTTTCTTCCCTCTGTAAGATGCCCTAAGGAAAGAATTTTATGGAGAGCATGTTCGGAAAGAGCATTCAGTGTGCTTAATGCTATCCTCACTGGGCCAGCCAAGACTAGTCCTATACTTTGCCTGGCTATCTTAATGCTAATTAATTAAAATAAACGTTTCTGTCATTTTCCCTGTACAGCTTTAACCCTATCCTCGGAGCATTCAGAGTTCTGTCCGTGGTTGGGTCCGGTCCTGATTCTTCCTGTGCTGCAGCTTCAGTCCTGCCTTGGCCTCACTGAACCTTTGGCGGAGCGACACACACACAAACTCAACCAGCAACTATCTGCCCGCCTGCTCCACAACATCAGCAGGCCCACACAAGCGCCCACACAGGTCTCTGGTTTTCTCACATCCTCTATGTTGGAGTTTCATTCATTCGTAAACCATGATTTATTTTATATTATAAGCATAAGTATAAGATTTTTATCTCTTAAGGATTGCGGTATAACAAGATGGTGAATGTAAAAAATTTTTTGTTGCTGTTACGTTCATCAAATGTTTCAGACTGGCATTCATGGCATATTGGTGTCAGCTTTTGAGACCTACACACAGTTTTGTGATAAACTTGAAGCTGAACTAGAAATCCAGAAATGGTTACTTTCAACTATGTTTACAGCTATTCTTTAAAATGTTCTTAGGCAGTTCAAAGCAGTGCAGTTTTTACAATTAAAGGGGGGCGTATTGTTCTAAATTAACTTAAATGAGCTTCTAACCATGTTCCTCAAAGTTGTATTTTTATTTCATGCATGTTTGAGCAAAAATCCAGTATTGTACTGCATTTGAATCTGTTCATTAAATTTCAGTCTTCATCTTCACCCTATCCCCGCCCCCATTTCTGTAATTAATTGTATTTATTTGAATATTAAGACCTCCTCTCCAGTAAAAAAAAGTCTTCTTTAAACTATCCGTCATATTCTTGAAGGGGCAATGACCTGGACACATGTTTCAATGCAGCCTTTCATGCATTCATTAATCAGTTAAGAAGATATATTTTTATTTTCATTGTGATAATTTTGTCTTTTCTTTACCTAGCATGGCCGTCAGGTGGTTCTGCCCCTCAGCTCCTGGTTCGGTGAGCTCAGCGTGGCCCTCTGCACTCTGCGGACAGTGGCGTCTGATCCTGAGGCTGCGTGCGACTGGCTGCTATCTGTTTCTTCAGCCCTGTCCTCCCGCCTGTCCCTGCCCTCCTCCTTCATCCTCATCGTGAACTACCTCCTGGTCACCAGCCGAGAAGACGTCTGCCAGCTGGCTTTGAACGCTGTCCAGAGCATAGCGTCAGCTGACCCCTCCCAGGTACACCATATGATAGGATTATGATGCTTTAACTTGCTATGAAAATATTTAGAAGGTTGTAGTCTCTTCAATACATCATCTCTTCTTCAGTCTCTACTTCACCTTCCTCAGTACGATATTAGATTAAGGTTAAGGTTAGGGTATAATTTGTCATCTATATTTGACCCATTTGACCCCAATAATACCTTTTAAAAAATTCTTACTGTGAGCCTGGTTGTTTCTCCTGCTTGTCTGCTTGGAGATAAATAAGTTTAATGCCATACTACGGAACATTCCAGGCAAAGTAGGAGAGGAGGAGATGGTGGGCCGTCTACCATAAAAGTTACACCGTGCACCGGGTATGGAGTGAATGGATAATGCTCTGTAAAGCATCTTTGTGACATATGTCTGTGAAAAGAGCTATATAAATAAAAACTTACTTACTTACCTTTAAACTTCATTCAGAAAAATTAAGATAAATATCTTGCAAGCTCTAATTTTCTCTCATCAGTAACTAATATCTGGCAAATCTAAATGTAGAATTAATCTGGACTCAGCAAAGACTAAACAGAAAAAAACTGGGCTTAAACCAGGACAGGACCAGGACAAGTGGGAATGTACCCTGAGTTTGTAGAAAGACATTTTTATCCCATAGTATAATAAGTCTAAACCTTCTCCTTACTTTAGTAATTTGTACTGCTAATGCTTAGTGCTCAGCAACATGAAATCAAACTCCTCCTCTTGAGTCCAGCAGTAGTTTATTATTGTATTGTAGGTGTAGTAGTTTAATGTAATGTGTGCTTAGTGCTGTGGGAGAAATACGAGCGAGTGAGGGTTAAGTGTATTTGCTGGATTCAGTCCAGCATTCTGTCAGGATTGTACTGGTTGATGTAATATTATTGCTGATTTGGCACTCCAAGCGCATTGGTGGACCAAACACAGCTGCAAAAGTCACAGTGTCACCCTGACCACTAATTTGTTCATTGCAGGCAATGACAAGAGAGGACTTGAGTGGTTTATTATTTTGACAAATAAAGCAATGGTTAAGTCAATAGTTTGCATGGTCTTAGCAGTTTAACATTTAGACACGTCACTTGTTTTTGTCTGAAATCCAGAATACACACTTCAGTAGTTTAGGACGTGAGTTGGTCTCCCTGTTTTCAGATGGGTGTGGTTAACAGGTGGATTTGCTAATCAGGGACAGGCATGGTCCGTCCGAATCTGAAAAAATAATAATTAGAAAAATATCGCTGGGGGCTGTAGAATCAGTGAGCGAAAGACTAAATTCTGTTAATCTGAGGCAAAATAAACTTGATTTTATTCGTAAATCTTAGTGACCTTGATTCTTCACTGAAAAAAATTATGATTGCACAAACATATTTGGCCAGCCTTGAGATGCAACATTAAGTGTGAGGGAGAGGCTTATATAACTGTATAAAAACAGCTGAAATAGAACACATTTGTGATGGAAATGTATAAAGAAATGTAAAGAAATCTGGTTTTGGTCCTAACTTTTTATACAATGCTTTCTTTAGTAGAATATGAGGATTACTGGGTAAATGTCTAAACTGTATTTTGTGGGGCTGCACACAGAACACCAGACTGCATTAGCTCCTATGGGACAGCTGATAGTCTGCGCCTCCATAAGATGATGTGAAATATCACACGGAGCTATAAGCTATAAGTGTCTCATTACCAGGGCTCGTTAGACGCGGCGCACTATTCCCCCATTGCGCTTAATTGCTCCCAAAGTGCCACTCGTGCCGCTCCTTTGATGCCGAGGTAGAAGGTTATTGGCATATATGAATCTACAGAATGTCTCGGTGTAGTGGCTCATACTAAGCTTAACACTAGTTCTTTTTGTTAAAGTCTGGATATCTTTCTGATGGTTATAGAATTGTATCTAGTTATTGAATGCTTTGTCAAGTTTTATAGTGTTTCCTTTTTTGTACAGGGTCTAATATGTTTTTATTGAACACTATCTAATGAAAAAAACACTTTCTCAGTAATAATGTTAGGGGTTCAATTGATTTCAGGTTTCAGAGCCTTACATAGCCCTGAAGGAGTATACAGTTGTTTCATAAACACTTAAAGCATACTTAAGTTCCAGTGTACTATTTCTGTCCATTTTCACCAAGTATTTATGGAGAATCTAATAATTTTTCAACTATTGAGTAGAATTTCTGGGCTTGTGGTGGCTGTAGTTAGTGTTGTAGATTTTAGAATTCTTAAAAACATGTAAATAAATGACAAGAGATGGGGACACTCAGTTCTTGTTTCTATTTTTTGTTGTTTTAGATTAATATTGTTTAATAATTCAGATTAATAATGTACGATAATCTATGTATGTTGTAATTTATTAGGAAATACCAGAAAAAAAGCATTAAAATGTCTTCTTTAAGTTAAACAGGTACAAAAAAATGCCTTCTTATGACCAAATGAGTCAATGCTTAAATCAATAATGAACTGTACACATTGCAGATTCCTAATTTTATCGATCCACGTGTGGGCAATATGTCAAGGGTCACAAACCTGAAGGAGACTCTGTGCGTGGCCCCACCCCCTCCCACTCAGGTGAAAGGAGGTGGCGACCAGCTGCTTCATGTTAATTAAAGCCCACATATGTCCAAGGAGCGTGACTGCTTTATATGTTTGACCTCAGCACTCACATATGATTAAGTATTAACCCTGCATTGTCCTTCACTCCTCTCTCCGGCTCGGGCCTGTGAGGGCTTAATTGACCGTCTCCCGAAGAAGACGTGAGAGACGGAGAAAGGACGAAGAATAACCTGGACATGATGTTGTGTGGTGTCCTCATTCATATGGGCTTTTAGGATTATGAGCTGATGCTTTGGAAGATGTTATAAGTTAGGAGTCCCAAGCTAATTATATTGTGCAGACATTTTTCATTCAACTATAGGATCACACAAATAAAAATTAACCCGAAATTCATTAAAAAATGTTGAAATGGAAGTATGCAAAGCTGGAGCCTCTCAGTTCTGCAGTTTTTGAACAGGAAGTCATTGAACATTAAGCCATTTTTGTCAATATTGAGGTTTACAGTGCACAAAATGTGAAGATCTACTTTGTTACTATTAATTACTGGAAAAAAAACATAATATGTCTTCTTTAAAATCATTCAATGTTTTCCTTTGCTGGCCACAAGAACTTAAAAATATGGAATTAATGGTTGGATTATTGACTGTTGTTGATCATAGTTTTCTTAACTTGTCTGCAGGTGCCTTCTTTACTGCCTGTGCTGCTGTTCAAGTTGGGGAGGGAGAAGAAGCCTGAGCTTTCCCAGGCTGTGCTCAACTGTCTGCCAAACCTGGGGACACACAAGGTACTGCAGCAGCTGGAATTGTGAATTAGCGATGTGAAGGTGGCAAAAATGACTTTTATTAAGATAAATGATGTTAAAGTTCTCTTCTATTTTACTATGCCTGTAGTTGTGTGTCCCCATGGTGCTCCAGACCCTACACATGTTGGCAAGCGCCCCCAAGCTGCGAGCTGTGGCAATGCGCCTCATGACTGCGCTGTGGAAGAAGCAGGTGTGGTAACGTTTGCTTAGAGTAGTTTGCTCTGAGTTGTTTGCACACTTGTTGTTTAGATGTTACTTTGTACAGGACCGTGTTTACCCCGAGCTACAAAGACTCCTATCCCAACAAGACAACAGGGTGGTGCTGGGACGCGACGCCCAGTGGGAGCAGCTCCTCTCTAGAGCTGCCTGCCTCCGGGACATCTGCACAGAGAGGTCAGAGGGCAGGGATCAGGAGGGCTTCAGTCTGGGATCAGGTTTGTCAGGCCTGACACTGGATTAACTGAAAGAGCAGTAAAAGACCAACAAAAAGTTTGCCCATCCCATTCTTGTAACACAATATGTTCAAATGCATCAGGAGGATTTTGGCAAATCTGGCACTCACAGTCACGGTTAGTGTAGCCTCACCCAGCCTGGGTTTAAGAGGTCACTTTGATCCATGAATTGAACTAACATCTTGTTTTAGAACTGTGTTTTCTATAAATTATTTTTTTGTGAAAAAAATATAGTATTTGTTTTAATGAGAGAGAAAAAAATCATTCAGTGTTCCTGGTCACCTCTCCACATATCTTGCCTCTAATTTGACCTAGTGGTGTCACTTGCTTGTGTCCATGAAGACTGATACATTTAATGCTATACCCTGAAATGTCTCAGGGAAACCAATAACATCATGAGCACAAAATGTTTCCTATACCTGAAAAGTGCAACTTTAATAGCAAAAACTTTAGACACATGCAACATTTTTTTGTTTAAAACAATTAAAAATCAACAATTAAAAACAATCCAAAGAACAAGTCCTAGTAGGGAAGAAATGAAAAATGTTTTCAAACCAGTTAATCAAGAGATGTTTTGCAATGTTTTCCTTTGACTCAGACCATACCAGCATGGAGGGGACATGCTGGCTGCCATCAGTCTGATGTTAAAGCAGTGCACTAAACCAGACCTGGCCACTCCAGCTGCTCTGGCTCTTCAAGGCCTGCATGAGCTTTGTCGGGCAGAGGTCAGTCACAATCGCACACTAAGACTGTATATATTATATATCTACAATTTTATGTTAATTTAATTACTGTGGGTGTTCTAGGTAGTGGATATAGTGTCGACATGGAGGACTTTGGGGCCTGAATTAAGAGCTGATTCTCGTCCACTGATTGTCAAAGCCACAACTGAACTGTTGGCTCTGGTTCCTCAGCTACGGGTAAAATCTGAAGCATATGAGGTACTGCAAAAATAATGTTGTTTTTCATGTAATGCTGAGTGTGTTAGGAGAGGCTAGGATGTGTTGTTTACCTTTTTTCTCTCTTCTTTTTCTTTCTCTCTTTCATAGAATCTCAAGGCAGAGGTGGTTGCTCTGCTCTGGAATTATGTTGTAAACAAGGTCAGTTCTCTATAGAGCTCTTCCTTTTACTGGATTTACATGCTTAACCATGGTTACCATTTTAAAACTGCAAAACATTCAGCGTACATTGTGAAGCAGTAGTAGAAATTCTCTACTACTACAACAAAACACCATACTGCCCTTATGTGTACGCTGTCTTACAGGATCCAGAGGTTGTGAGCTGTGGATACAAGGCTCTGGCAGAATATCCTGAAGTTGATCACAAAGTCACTTTACTTCCTGAGTCTGTAAGAATATTTTTATACCTTTTAAATCTTATTAAAAATATGATCAATAGCGAGTATAGTTAGTTATGGATAGGTTTTAAATGGTTGATTTAGTAATCAGTAGTCAAACATCTTTTCCCCTTTCAAACTATCCCCAAAACACACAAACAGAAAATTATTAATTATGTTTTTTGTTCTCCTGATGTCTGTCACAACTCTAATCTAATCACTAAACCTCTGTATTAAAAACATACTTATCTGTTGGAGGGTGTGCCACCAGCTAGTCTCCATGGAGTTGTCATTGTTTTTCTGGAATGTTCCGCAGTATGGCATTAAATGTGTATTTCCAAAAGAGAAAAGTCAAGTTACAGGTCATATGTGAAGAACAAGATTGTACTGTAAGATTCTGATTGTTTTCAAGGTATTTTTAGCAACAAGAACTCCTTTTATTGCCTTACTGTGGAATAATCCAGACAAAGAATTAACTTCCAACCTCCAAAATGTACATAGAGCACTTTTAATTATCTACAACATAAGAAGTTTCCTATTTTTGGTCATATGTTAAAAATGCTTATAATAGTTACAATAATAATATTTGTTGATTTTTTTTTTTTTTCTTGTCTTCAGGCCCGGCCAGTCACAAAGCAGCCGGAGAGCGAAGAGGATGAGGAGGGCAAAGACAAAGATGAAGAGGAGAAGGACTTGTCTGTGCCTGGTTCTTCTTATGTGAAGCTTCTGTCTCTCACTCCTGCTTCGGTCCTTTCAGGTGCACATCAGACTGCACACAATCCACATGAGGGTCAACTTACAGCTTCAGTCTCACCAGACAAAAGGACCGTCTGTCATCTGTGCATTACTTACTATGATATTATGGCTTGTGTTGTAGCTCTCCAAGTGTTCCTGACGTCGCTTGTGAAACAGGAGATGAAAGAGATGCCTCGGGGGGTGTACTTCTCCGCTTTGAGGCAGGGTGGGCTGCGCTCTGATCAGGGGAAAACCGTGTCCGGGATCCCCTCGTTTATGCTCAAGACTTATGAGAAGAACAAGCAGCCTGGACTCAAGCCAGGACTAGCAGGTCACAGCACAATTTAAGATATGGATAAAAAATATGAATGCAGATTTAAATTGATACTAATACTATTATCAAAACTAGATGCTCACCTCAATAGTTCACATAGTTGGGCCAAACAAAAGGTCTTCTACAACTGTAATATAATTTTTTTTCTAAACTCTTAAATCCTAATTACCTCTTTTGTGTTTCAGGTGGTCTTCTCCTGTGTTATGAGCTGCCAGTGCAGACAGACCGCGACGGTAGACCCATTGACCGCTTCCTGATGAGTCGCAGCCGTAGCTACCAGCAGACCCTCAGCACCCTCATCCATGAGGTAAGGCTACGCAGTGTGCAGATGTCAGGCACCAGGGCTGGGGGTCTGATACGACCTTATGCAAAGATATCCCACTGTCTTTGTCTATTTTTTTTAAGGGGCACTAAACATCTGTTAAATAATATTCAGCAAATAATTCAATTTGTAAAAGTTGCAAAGAGTAAATAATTCAGTGATAGCTTTCTTGTCCTTTGCTCAGGTGAATATTCAGCCTTCAGAATGGCACCGGTCCCTCCTCTTGCCTCAGGCCTGGAGGAGCTTCATGAGCAGAGCTTTCCAGGCTGTTCTTCAGGTTTGCGTCAATTTTGCTTCACAGATAATTTAATAACAATGATTTTATCTTAGGTAATGTTTGAAGTAGGGTCTCATTGACACGTTATACAATTACCAACTAATCCATGAAAACAGTCTGGGTTGTGTTTGTGTGTAATTTAATGTGATACAACTTTTGGTGAAGACTGCCCTCTATTGGTTTTTCATGGTAATATATACACACTGAATGTGGTGTAAAAATGTTTCTAGTTTCATATATACAGTAGCAATTCAATGTCCTTGTAAGAAGCAGTGTCCTGAATGAAGGTCTTTGTTATACGTGTTTGTGTGTGCTCAGGGCCGTCGTGCTGATTTGGAAATGCAACAGAAACAAGGCAAAGCCAACCCTGAGGAGCTGCAGTACCAGCACCACTGTGCCTGGCTCTGGTCAGATCCATTTTTACACTTCAACAATAACTATGGACACACACAGTTTCAGCATTAACATTAAGCAGTAACAGTGTATTATTCATTCATTCATTTTTTTTAAATCACGTGTAGGGCCAGAGATCAGTTAGCAGATGTCATCAAAACTGCCACTAAGTAAGTTTTGTTACACTTAAATTTGCTTTATTGTAGCTTTTGAGTGTCCCAAATATAATTTATATATATATATATATATATATATATATATATATATATATATATATATATATATATATATATATATATATATATATATATATATATATATATATATATATATATATATATATATATATATATTATTTTTTTTTTTTTAAGTAATTATATGTTTTTAAATATGCAGGGATAGCCCAGTTGTCCAGGGGAACTCCATTTTGGCTCTGAGTGGTCTGGCTGCTGTTCTGGCCAAGTACGAGAGCAACCTGCCCACTGACAGTGAGGGCAGCCTGGGGGTAAACTGCTCTATTTGTTTTATTTTGTATTATCATGCAGCCAGTGTGAATAAAGTAACCCTTGTGTGTCTGTATGTGCCAGGCCGGTCCAGAGTTTGTGCCCACCTCCAGCTGGTTGGCCATGGTTCTGGACACTCTGCTCAGCATCATCTACAGCAGCTACAAAGCCAAGGGACAAGTCTTTCCATGGTTCCTCCATGTACGTCTTATTCATTCTTTTTTTACTGAGTTTAATATTTTTTTGAAAATATACAGCTCTTCATTTATCTTATATATATCTATATTGGAAAAGCACAATTATACCACTACCCTGTTTGCTGTCTGCAACTAATATATTTTTAGCAAATTATGAAGTATTTTTTCAAGTTTATCAATCATAAACCTGGAAAAAAGAGCCATTGGCGTGGCCCGATTGAGCATTAATGGTCAACCCCTGCTTCACTTTTCCATCCATCTATTTTCTTCCACGGGTCACAGAGGCAGCAGTCTAAGTAGGGACTCCCGGACTTCCCTCACCCCAGACACTTCCTCCAGCACCTTCTGGTGGACCCCAAGGAATTCCCAGGCCAGCCGAGAGATATAGTCCCTCTAGTGTGTCCTGGGTCTTCCCTGGGGCCTCCTTTCAGTGGGACATGCCCGGAACACTTCCCGTGAGCCATAAGGGGCTGGTGCAAGGAGATCCGGGCGGCAGTCAATGGCAGGGGCCTCGATGACTGGATCTCCGGACATGGAAACTGGCTTCACTTTTCCTATCTGATAAAAATGGCTCTAAATTTGTGCATGTACCCAGAAATTCTTACATGTGGACATATAAAAAATCTGTGATATCCTACAACTGGTCAGACACTTTTAAATACCCTCTAAACATCAAATTTTGCAGTTTGACAGGTAATTCGCTTACAGCAAAAATGACCAAGTAGACCCATATTCTCTAAAACCACAGCTGAGATGTTCATATTAATTTTAAACATTTTATTTAGCAGCTGGATTTATGATGATGGGTGCTGCAAATCAGGCATTCTACCAATCAGTATCAATCTGTCAATACTTTACATTACACTTGCCAAGTAAAATAGATGCTATACAAATTCATCCACACTCATGTTTTCGTACAAAGATGTCTTTACTCTCCTCTTCTCAGCGTTCCTACTCTGGTGAGAACACAGCCAGCGCCATCGCCCGCTCGTGTGCCAGCCTGGCCCTGTCCCTGCTGGTCCCGGTCCTGGTGGTGTGGCAGAGGGACGGGGTAGCTCAGGTCCTGGCCGCTCTACAGTCCGCTCTGCCCGCGTCTCCCTCGGCCGATGATTCCCAGGTGGTACAGTTCCACTCCGGACTGGCTCTGGGCATGGTGCTGTCCAGCCTGCATCACCAGCGCCTCAGGTCTGTTCGGTTAAAGCTGAATTTGGAGCCGCTGAATGTTATTGTGGCTGATGTTTTTGTGTTTTGTCCAGTGATGTTTCAAAGCAGAATGACACTGAGCTAATGTCGAAAGGACTGGATGCGTTGGAAAGCTGCTCTTTCAACCCCAACCTGGAATACAAGTTAGTATAGAATCCATGTATTATTTATTCATTCGTTTTTCAAAATAATCCCAAAATAAGAACACAAATTTTTTTTCTATTTTCTTCATTATTTGTCTCAAAACTAAAATGAAAACAACATAAACGATTCGTTTTTTTGAGTTTTCAATTTTGTGTTTAATTGAATAATGGAAATGGCTTCCCGTTTCTGTAACTTAAACTGCGATGCCGAACTTTACCTCTGCATACAGACTGAACCAGGACTGAACCAGGTCTAAACCTTGTCTAAACCAGGTCTTAATCAGGTCTAAACCAAGTCTAAACAAGAAGTGAACCAGGACTGAACTAGAACTGAACCAGGACTGAGTGTTGAGATGGGCTCAAAGGTGCGCCCGCGTAGACCGTCGGGTGACCATTGCAGAGAAGTGCTAAGCGCAGCCGTCGCCCGATCGTGCTTTGCGGACACCCTGCTCCAGAGGCTCGAGGTTCTCCCTCTCACTCTCAAGTCCAAGATTAGTTCTGGTTTAGACCTGGTTTAGTCCTGCTTCTGTCCCTGTTCAGTCCTCTTGGTTCAGTCCTGGGATCAGTCCTGGTTTAGTCCTGGTTTAGTCCTGGTTTAGTCCTGTTTTAGTTCTGTTTTAGTTCTGTTTTAGTGCGGGTTCAGTCCTGGTTTAGTCCTGGTTTAGTCCTGTTTTAGTTCTGTTTTAGTGCGGGTTCAGACAGTCCTGGTTTAGTCCTAGTTTAGTCCTGGTTCAGTCCGGGTTCAGTTCTGGTTTAGTCCTGCTTTAGACCTGGTTCAGACTTAGTTTAGACCTGTTTCTGTCCTGGGATCAGTCCTGGTTCAGTCTGTGACTTTTGCGTCAGTATGTGGCGCAAAAGTCCGGCATCGCAGTTTAAGTCACGAAAGCAGGAAATGTCCGTAATCCGTTTTTTTTTCATTATTCATTTAAACAGTTTAAGTTTAATTGGATTCAGTTAACAATAAACACCAGTAATTTGCAATTGTCAATAAAAAACTCCACTGCTACCATTTCAACAAGAATATAATCACATCTAACAACAAAATGGTGGAACATGCTGCAGCAGAATCATTTACGCTCTGCAGTAACAGGACTTTTTGAGCAACTACAGTTCAAGAATCTGTTACGTTAACTTTGTAAGCTTAATTTTAATTTCTGGGTTTTGTTTTGCAGTACTGGTTGCTTACTTGGTCTTGGTTTGGTGCTAGCATCTCTGTGCGTACACGGACAGCCAGACCAACAATTCCACGTCACAAAGATTTTAGACAAACTATTGGCCAATCTGCAAGAAAGCAGTGCACAGAGCCGCATGCTGCAAGAGGTACAAGAAGATATCTGATAATTGTGTTTATTTAGTCATTTAAAGTTACATTCTGCAAACACTTGAGGGTGGAATGGTTTGGTTGTAATATTGTGTATTTTCTTATGACACTATTTTCAGGTTTTGGCTTACTCGGTTGCATCTGCTGGTGTTTCTGCCTTCAGTGCTGGACTCATTGACGCGACCAAAGCTGAGGAGATCATGACCACTCTACGCACTTTGACAGAAGAAAGCCAGCAGGTTCATAGACTTTTCTAGACATAACTACGCAAGGTTTGGTCAAAAAAGTGTAGTGGTTCAGCTCTTCTGTTTGTTTATGTGTTTAGACTCCCGGTTTCTCACTGGCTTTAGGTCTGGTGGTCCATGGTCTGTCCTCCTCTGGGCACGGCAAAGCAGAGGACATCCACCCTCGTCTGCTGGCTGCATGGATCAAAATTCTTCTAGCTGAGGTATAAATCGAAGCATATTTAGTATTTTAGGTACAAGATACTATAAAGAACTCTATGTTGAGGTTTAATGATATTGTAATGTAATGTTTATTTGGTTTCAGGGCTGTCCAACAATGCAGAGACTGGCTGCTGTCAATGGCCTGGTGGCTTTAGTGGGTTCTGAGACCTACCTCATTCAAGTGAGTGAGCTGCAGCTGTTTAAATTATTTTGATTATCTTCTACTTGCTTTTAGCCAGGCTGGCGCTACCTAGTGCCTCCGCTCAGTTTCATTTCTCTCCAGCGACTAGGTCAGGAATCAAAATACAATAGACAGTTTGCAAAAACCCCAGAAGTGTGAATTCAGGCACCAGCCATTCAGTGAAGAGCCATACATTCTGTGTTGGCAACGATTCCCGAGATCAAGGATTTAAAACCAGAACAGAGAGAATGTTTGGTGAATTTTATCAAGGGAAAAGACATTATTCCCCTTCTTCCTATGGGATTTGGAAAAAGCTTAATTCACCAGTTAGCCCCGTTAGCGGCGCATTACATACACTTGGGGGTGTACAAATAGCAGCGATTGGTTAACTTAAAAAAAGTATGCGCCTACCGTCGAGCGAATGCTGTATGGTAGATGGCTTCAAGGAAGTGAAACCGGCTGATGAATCAGGTTAACTTGCTATAGCCCAAGTGAACATCCATGCTTCCACTAGTTTACAAAATTTTTATAAAATTGTGTCTTATTTCTAACAGCTGAAAAGTGAGTCAGAGCTCTCCTCTCAGCAGCAGAGCCGTTTGAACGAGGTCATCCGTGCCATTACACAGGTATTATACATACATATATATATATATATATATATATATATATATATATATATATATATATATATATATATATATATATATATATATATATATATATATATATATATATATATATATATATATATATATATAAAACATGAATATTGTTATATCTTACCATCAGCTGAAGATGTAAATACTTAAATACTGTATTTCCATTTCCAGATTATTACGTTCTCTGGAGCCATAGGATTGCAGTCCAACAGTGCATGTTTAGTGGGTCACCTGTATCTGGCCCACATGTCCACTAGTCACAGCCACACAGCAGGTAAAAAACTTCTACTTAAAGACAGGTTCACTAGCAAGGTCCACGCCAGCAACAACATAGTGCAAAGAAGAAGTTTACTGATAATGTACGAGGCGGGGCAGAGATGACTGGGTTTAGTCTCCGGGTGGGGGTTCCGTCTTAATCTTCAATTGGCCGAGTCGGAACAGGACCTTCATAGGCGTCTTATGGCTGAAAGCCGAACAAAATAGGAGGTGGGAGGGTGGGGTCGAGTTAGCCAAGACAAACTAGGATGATGGGAAAGGCTGCTACAAATAGGCTTCTGGGAACTTAGAGGCGTGGTGGAAGTGAGTTGTGGTTCACTGATGAGGAGGAGAGGGTGGTTGAGGCATGGTCCTGCTCCTGAATCTCAATTAATCATATTAACTAAACTTATTATGTTTTTCTAATAAATTGCTTTAGTGGACTAGTACCTGTGATCGTGATTATTTCTCATACTTACACATGAGTCCAGTAACAGCTTGGAAACTAAAGTTGAGATTTTTTTTTTTAATCACAGGGAGTAGCATTTTGCTGTAAAAAAAAAAAAAAAAAAAAAAAAAAGAAAGAAAGAAAAGAAAATCCCTCTCTGTTTGTACAAAATTGCAGGGACAATTTATGCAGTAAAGTTTGGAGTAAAAGTTTTCGAAACCAGAAAATCTATTGAACTTAAATAATTAGTTTTTCTTGCTCTTATTGCTATTACTGAAAAATACACTTTGCTTGTGTGCAATTAGTTCCTCTAGATTTTAGTTACTTACCAGAAAGAAGCGTGATCCGAGCCATCACTGACTTCATTACAGAGGCTGGAAAAAAGGGTGAGTACTTTGCCTACATTGTGTTAAAGGAAAAATATTTATTAATGCTAACAGAGCAATAACTTTTCTTGTCTATCACAATAGGTCCAGAGTTTTCCCACCCAGATCTGGTTAAGACCGCACTCACACCTTTGGCAACAAATGGGTCAAGTTTTCAATTTCCGCCCATCAACTGGAGTTCGGTCCTGTCCCCTCTGATGCGACTAGGATTTGGTATAAGCTGTATCCAGTATATAAGGTCATATAATGTGCAGTTTGATTGACATTCCTACATCTGATTCAGGAGAGGAGATCCAGCATCAGTGTGTGGTGTTGGCTGCCAGTCAGGCCCAGTCTTCCCAGAGTTCTGCCCTGTTCCTGGGATCATGGATGTCACCTCCTCTAGTCCACAGCCTTAGTGTAAGATCTACGTCACATTTATTTGCTGTATGTTTGAATTAGGAGGTTAATCACATGAAAGAGAAAATGCACACCAAAGTTCGTATAGAGGTGCAGATGCAAGGAAACAAAAAATGAAAGTGGAAAAAATGCATAGCACACTCAGATGGCCGATGTCCAAAAGCTTTATTTTTTTATTTTTTTTTTTTTATTCAAATTTTTATTGACAATCCAATAGAAATTCAAATCACAAATGCACTTTTTTTTCACCACCTTCCTCTTTCTTTCACTTCATATATCTCTCTATTATAGTATTTACAATTTTTTTTTTTTTCAGCTTTTTTCCCCCCTTATTCCATTAAGAATATAAAGTAAAAAAAAAATAAAATAAAATAAAAAAAACCAAGAAAAAAAAACAAATATTTGAACATTTGAGTAGCAGTGGACAGATTGTCCCTGATGTTCCTTTATTTTATTTTTTTTATGTTCAGGTATTAATAAAGTCTTTTCATGGTTTCCAGCCTTCCTCATACCTGTTGTATTCCAATCTTTGTGTGAGAGTCTTTTGTGTCATATGAGTAATACCTTCGACAATGTTAATCCAGTCCTCCAAATTCGGTAGTTTGTCACTCATCCATTTTTTGGATATTCTTGCTTATGATCAGCAGAATGTTCCACATAAATGTTTTTGTTCCTTTAACGTCATCTGTCCGTGTGCCCAAAAATATAGTTTCAGCTTTTTTTTTTTTTTTTTTTAAAATAACGTTTCGGCAAAAAAGATAATTTTTCTTTCTTTGGATCACAGTCTGGTCTGAGTGTGCTATGCCTTTTTTCACTTGAATTTTGAGGTGAGCCAGAAATGTCACTTTTATGACAGTTCTGAACAATAAATAATAAATGAATAAAAACAAAATTATTATCATGCTATCTATCGATCTATATATACTATCTATACTATCATCATACTATTACTATCATACCACTATTAACTGACCAGCTTTTTTTTGCTTTTACTTGCTTTACATAATGGTTTAAAATGTCTTGTGGCTTTCGTAGTACCAGACACGAGCGCACCTGTATGAGACATTGGGCGTGTGGATGAAGCACGTAGCAGAGGACAAACTGCAGGTGTTTGTGGAGAGTCTGGGTCTGCAGCACTTCCAGGAGACCGTCCGACCCCAGCGCTTGCCCCTGTGCCGCTCACTCCTGCAGGGGCTCGCTCAGGCCATGGCCCTCCCCAACCCCCCCAACAACTGCTGGAGCCTCCTCTGCTCCACCACCGAGAAGATCTTTAACCTGCTGCCAAATAATATTCAGGTATGTGTAGTGAGCATGTTGTTGTTGTTTTTATAACTGTATTTCATTTGACAACTTTGCTAAATGCCCTTTATCATATTGAATTTTTTCAGGATGCTGAGGTGGAGTTATACGTGGGAATTGCCAAATGCCTCTCAGAGATGTCCGATACTGAAATTGACAGAATAGCCAAAGTTACAGAGGTATTTATCAAAAACTGAGTAACTTTTCTGGTAGAGGGTCCACCACCTGCATGACCCAACTGGATAATATTGCTTTGCCAGAAATGTTCCACAGTCTGGCATTAAACTAATATAGCTTTCGTTTTTATAGTTATAGTTTAATACTTCTAAAACATGCTTTCTTAGTCTTAGATCTGAAACGGGCGGGTTTTAACGTTATGGAATTTTACAGGTGGGTATGCAGGCGGGTAGTGATTACACACGGGCGGGTCAGGACTAAACCAGGTTTAGTTCAGTTCAGGTTTAGTCCTGGTTTAGTCCTGTTTTAGTCCTGGTTTAATCCTGTTTTAGACCTGGTTTTAGTCCTGTTTTATTCCTGGGTTAGTCCTGGTTTAGTCCTCCTGGTTCAGTCCTGGAATCAGTCCTAGGTTAGTCCTGGTTTAGTCCTGTTATAGTCCTGTTATAGTCCTGTTATAGTCCTGTTATAGTCCTCCTGGTTCAGTCTTGAGTAGGATCATGCCTGGCTCACACCAAATTTCCCAGGGGGAGTTCATCAAATTTGTGATGTTTTCTATTGTTCTTATAGCAAACAATTTACATATTTGGCTGTGTTTTTATTTTACTTTAACTTTAGTAACCAGCACCACATTTCATTTTCTTTCAGACTCAGATGGAGAAGTGCTGTTTCGTCCTCTGCTATCTGACGTCCCAGGGCAGGGTTCCTCTTTTGGGTGTCAATGATATCATCTCTGGGGTGCTCCGCGGTTGGCCCAGGCACCGAGTCGACTGGTTACTGCAGCAGACCTTCTACCAGTGTCGCCTGGCCGCCAGCGCTCACACAGGTCCGCCTAGAAATAGATTAAAGCTGAAGTAGTTGTAATTTAAATAACAAGAAGAAAGACAAACTTTATTGATCCACAAGGGAAATTATTTGGACACAGTAGCCCACACATCACAATATAATATAATAAAGAGTAAAAAATATAAATGGTAATAATAAACTCTAAATAAGCAGTGTCAAATTTACTCTGCATCTTGAATTGTATTAAGCAATAACTATAGTTGACACGTTATAGATGGAGCCACAAGAGGGCACTTTAGTTAAATAGTGTTTGGCTGTGTGGTTGTGGTGGCTCTAAACCAGGAGATCTACCGGTAACTCTCCACCCCCTTCCAAGTAACTCGCCAAGGGACTTCTGAATTACACATATTGAATAAGTAAAATGTGACTAAATTTAATGCCTTTTACCATTGTCCTTGTATCATTTTGATGCCTAACTTTGTGCACTAATTAATGGATAATGGTTTATGTTTTATAGGCATCTAACTGTACCTCATCTAAGGCTCGCTTTTGCCTCTTTTATATACTAAATTCCTTGTGACTTCTAAAACTAGTAGCTCTCTGGCATTTTTGTTTTGTAAAGGTAACTCACCGGAGGAAAAAGGTTGGAGACCCTTGCTCTAAACATGGATAACTGTTCTGCTGTTTTCTTAGGTGTGACCAAAAGAATGGAGTGGCTCTTGGAGTTGATGGGACTCATCAGAAATATTGTGTATGGTGCGACCTCTGTGTCTTGTGGCGACGTTAAAATGGTTTGTTTTCCATTAAACGTTATCCTCCACTGTACATTATTCATTATGTCTTTGCTAGTAGTCAGTGTTGGGACTTGTGCATGTACCAAAAACATTTATTTGAGATCATTTTTTGAGCACCTTTTATATACATTCTTTAATCTAGCATTACTACTACATTTAATTCATCCTCATTAGAAAAGACAAAAGCGTTTACTTTGATAGTAACCTTAATACTTATATGTTTTAGATTGAAATGTCTAACAAACATGCATGAATTGTTGCTTTTAAATTTCTTTTAGGCCATAGACTTCCTGCTCCAGGTCTTCAGTGCAGCTGTTGTTTCCTGGGGTGACCACTCAATGCCTCTTCTCCTCGGTGTCCGGGCCCAGTGGTTTCCATGGCAACCCAATTCCAAACCTCCAACTATACAGCACGGACTCTACGGAAAAGAGTCGTTCCTGGAGCATTCCCTGCCGCCGTGCATTTTTGGGCTTTCTCACAGCCTGCCCCTGCTGCTGGCCAAAGACCCCTGGAGCAGTCAGACACATAAGGCAGGTCCAGGAATAGCGAGAGGTTTAATCGCTTAATCCAGCAAATGTTAAGGTCTTTTTGTTGTTTCAGTTTATCGACTGGCACCTCAGTGTGACAGAGGCCCCACAAGAGAATATATCGGCAGCCAGCCTCTCCACAGTTAAAGGTAAAGAACAGTATTTTAGAGAACTCAAGACTATTGTCACAATTCAGCCTAATGTTAAACCAATAGAGATTGTAAGATGTTAAATACAAAACATGTAAACATGTTAGCTTATAGTAGTGCAATTTCTGAATATTTCCATATTTTTCTGACTGTAAGTCGCTTATAAGTCGTGAGTATAAACCGCACCAGCCAAAAAATGTGTAATGAAGAAGAAAAAATATATACAATAAGTCGCATCGGACTATAAGTCGCATTTTTTGGGGGAAATTTATTTTATAAAATCAGAGACCAGGAACAAACATTTAATCTCAAAAGGCAAGTTCTAGTAATAACAATAGAACAGAGAACAACAGGCTGTTAATGTCACATATGAACAGTTCTTCAGATAAATATAGCAAAATTCCATAACAGAACAAGTTTACCAAACTCTCCATCTCACTCCAAATCACTAAATCCATTCAATTCTTCATTCTCGGTGTCACTTCTGAACAACTCCGTGACCTCCGGAGGTAAAGGGAGCGCCACTTCCTCTTCTGTGTAGCTCTCCTCAGACTCAGCATCAGTTCCAGTTAGAATTATTCCGGCCTTTCTGAATCCCAGCAGGATGGTTTCAGTTGTCTGTATGTTTGTTTAAATTTTAAATTGTCAGTGATACAGAAGTAATGGTGTGATCGACTGACATGATACTAAGACAGGACAGAGGCTCTTTCTCTTATTTCTGCAGCTGACATGGGCAGTAGAGTGCAAAGTGACAGTGGTATAGGAACACACAAGCCTAGAGCGCCCTCTATAAGTTGCTGGATAACCCAAACCATGAAAAAAGTATGATTTATAATCCAAAAAATATGGTACTTTGACAGGAATGCCCATTGAATCCTAAACAACTAAAATAATGGCACAATATTTCTTCATAATAGACATGTAGATTTGTTAAATGGACACTTTAGTTCTCCTTGATTGAATTAAAATCAAATTATTGTTATTGTTGTTTCAGCTTGTCTCCTGGCTTTGCGCTCCTGTCCAGACTTCAAGAAGAAAACCATTTGGACCAGAGCTTGCGGCTGGTAGATCAACAAATAAATCCCACCTCTGCATGGACTGAAGTACAAACAGGCTTACATGTTCCTCGAAAACTTGTTGAAACAGGAACTGCTTAAGCTCCTAATGCTGCTTTTGTAAAGTTCTCAGTTCTTTGGCAAAAATCTCATTTCAATTTTGTTTTCTTTTTCTTGTTCCATTTATCAAGATGATGCCTTCTCTCTTTCAGCAACTGCCAAATAGTTACAGTACCACCTGCAAGATTAAAAAGCAAACCATTTCATCATTAATCATTAAGTATTATGTACAAATAGTTACACAATGATGTTGTTCCATCATTACCGCATCCTTACCAAGTGCCAAAAGTGTAGCCAATCAGAACAAAGTGGAGGTTGGTGGGTGTGGTCACTGTGGAGTTGTGGAGTCACTGGACTGATGTGTAGTGAAGCCTGAGGAAACAGTTTTACAAAAGGACAATGGTGTTCCATAAAAGGGTCTAACTCCAGAAGCCAGGCCTATGTCAGTACATTTGTATTTTTTTTAGGATCATTTTGGATCCATAAACAAGGGTCACTTCATGTTTACATAAAAACCTGGCAATGGCGGCCTGAAAGCTGTGCACAGTAATAAGATGTCTCAGTACTGACAACAATAAACCAAAAAAGTACCATTCTGGTGTTTGTGTTTGCTTCTTATTAACAGCTCTGAGCATGTTTAAGTCTTTGTACTTCGCAGTGGATCCTTTAGCCCTCACCCACACACACTTTCCTCTTGCTCGTGTGCTTTGCCAGCTCACTTCCTATTCTTCATAACGCTTCCCCTTTGCTTTCATTGATTTAGAGTTTGGACAGTAGAGTAAAGAAAAAGTGACAAACATCCAGAAAAGAGAAGAAAACAGGTCACATTTTGAGTCTTAAAGAAATCTGAAAAAATACTAAACATGTGAACAGGTCAGCGGATAGTCGTGGAATTTCTGAAAGTTACTTGATAAAAATGCTCAATGAATCCAATACAACAAACAACAAAATGTCACAGTATTGACTCTTTTAACAAATAATAAACTAATAGAAATGTTAACTGTTGAAATCATGGCCCTCTGTGTGCTGGACACTTTAGTCCTCCTTGATATAAATAAAAAAATATTGTTATTGTTGTTTCATCTTGACTCCTGGCTTTGAAGCCCTGTCCAGATTTCAAGAAGAAAACCATGTTCTCAGTTCTTATGGAAAAATCTCATTTCAATTTTGTTTTCTTTTTCTTGTTCCATTTGTCCAGATGATGCTTTCTCTCTTTCAGCAACTGCCAAACACTTACACTTCCACCTGCAAGGTAAAAAAAGCAAACCATTTCATCACTAATCATCAAGTATTACGTACAAATAGTTACACAGTGATGTTGTTCCATCATTATTGCATCCTTACCAAGTGCCAAAAGTGTTAAGTAGCCAATCACAACGAAGTGGAGGTTGGTGGATGTGGTCACGGTGGAGTTGAGTACATCTGAAGGTGGAGTCACTGAACTGATGTGTGGTAAAGCCTGGTAGAGAGTGAAACCTGTGGAAACAATTTTACAGAAGAATTTTACAGATTTTATTTTTTTTTTTACAGAAGAGAGGTACATTAGTCTTTTTTAGAATAATTTTGGCTCCATAAACAAGAGCCACCCCACATATTCACAGAAGCTTGGCCATGGCAGCCCTAAGATTGTGAACAGTCATAAGATGTCTCAGGATCATGAAAATAATAAATTAAAAAAAAAAGAAATTACAGCCATTGTATTGTCTGTTTGTTTCTTATTAATGGTTCTGAGCATGTTTAAGTCTTAAAAAAATGTCTGCTGTGTATTGCAGTAATTGTGTGTATGTGTGTGTTTTAACTGATGTGCTTTACTCGTGTTTATCTGCTTTGCCAATTCACTTCCTGTTCTTCACAACTCTTCCCGTTTGCAATCTTTGACTTTGACAGTGGAGTAAACTTAAAAGTGACTAACATCCAGAAAAGAGAAAATGACTCACATTTTGAGTCTTAACACACATTTTGAGTTAAGGCGGGAGATGCGGCATTTAAAATATCTTATAGTACAAAAAATAAATATATTTTTGAAAATATATATAAATAAAAACTGTATATGTTTTTGTTTTTACATTGTTGCTCGTACCATTTTACTTTTATATATCTTCATTTGGTTCCTGTTGCATGATTCAAGCACATAAACCTTCTGAATCTATATTTCTAATCTCCTTTCTTCTTTGTCTGATAATTCATGTGGCTTGTTATAACACGTGTTACTACTATCACTGTCCATCAGATAAACAAAAACATGTTCAGGCAAAGTCTGGTCTTGATGGTCGACGACAATATAAGATAAAACATGACAGAAGTCTAAATATCCCTAAATGAGCCCTGTCAGAAGTTGGGTCACACAACTGTCTTCAAATATTGTGTATTTCTCTATAATTATTCATTATATGATCGCTGCCTAATTGTACACATTATTTATGGCATTCTGGATGTTTAAGAGCTAATATTTAGTGCAATGTATGAGTTATTACACAGTAAGATAATTTTTACTTTTTATGCTAGTGTATGTTGATATTCTTGTTATTTGTTTTTTACAGTTTTAAACCACCAAAGACCACTCCATGTTAACACAAAACAGATTAACTACACATGGTCAAAGATGGACACATACAGGTTCATTTTTCAACCACACGGCGACTACACCTTATAAACAGTCTATACATGAGTCTGTGGCAGCTGCTGCACACCATGGATCTATAATAATAAGAAAAACTTATTATAGAATATGATTTTATTATAGTTTTATGCTGCACACACCTGGAGCTCTTGAAATCTCTAGGAGAGTCTCTCACACATGGATCTATAAGAATTTATAGAATAAGATTTTATTATAGTTGACTCCCAGGTGAGATGAATGGAGTTTACATTTTATAGTCTCAATGTCTATACACCACAAGGATGCACTGTTATTTTTAACGTCCTATTACAACCAACAGTTCTGTAGCCTGATTGACATCAACTTGGCCTACATATGATCACATCAAGCACAATCTAAGTTACACACTGTAAAATTGGCTCACTTGATTCCTGCAAAGTCCAAACTCTGCTTCAAATCACATTGGCTGTTCTCCTTGCATTTGAAAAGGCCCGAGGTGATCATTCACAATATATACAATATATATCTGTCTACACGACTAAAAATCAATAGTGATTAATTGTCTAGCCCTCAATAAAATATGAAGAGTTAGTTGTTATCATGGCACTACTTAATTCAGTGAAAGAAGTTCTTTAGTCATTCACATAATTATAATGAATATGATGAATATGCATGTGTGCTGCATTTTATTTGCACTATACCTGATTATAAACAGAACTGAATAATGCACTTACTTTTAATTTTTATCTGTTTTTATAGACACCAACTCCTGCAAGGCAGGTTCCAACAGCACAACAGTCTAGGGAGTGGACCAGTTTTCAACATGCAGCTCAATAAGGCACAGTACTTTTTATTGTCTCCACAGGGAACTTGTCCTCTGCATTTGAGACATCGATCAATCACTGTAGGGAAACCTTGAGCAAGACTTGATCAGGACTAGGTTAGCTGGAATCCGTGCATTACATATAGTGCATGTTTTGAGGTGATGGGGAAACTGAAGTGCCCAGAGGAAACCCCCCATCAGACCCCGTGTCCAAGTCCATGAGCAAGAGCCATCTAAATGTCATGCAGGCAGCTGCAGCAGAGGGAGGTGTCACTACTGTTACTTTATAATTACGGTATTTACTCTGAATTGAACAATGATAATTTTAACTTCCACACCCAAGAGCGTTGTGAACACTGTGGAAAATAACAGTTTGAATTCCTAAAGTTACTTGAACATGTTGAAAAGTGTTAGCTACTACTCTGTCACACTCTTGGTGGTCTGAGGACATTATAAAAGATACTCCAGTCTCTAAATGTGACCGTATAGAAGAGACTGACCTTCAGTAGCCACAGACAGCGCGTACAGAGGGATCCACAGTGTGTAGCGGGTCCACAGCATAGTTACAGAGGGCCTGTCCATGGCACACAGCAGTTCATGGGGGTACCTGGCACACATCAAACACAGTCACATCACACACACTCTGTAATAACACACTGTTTACATCAGAAGACATCAGGTGACATAGGACATACAGCTTAAAGTTAGTTTTGCCCTGATTATTTCCTTTAATATGCACTATGTAACTTTTTTTGTGCAGGCCTCCATTGATATGTTACTGTGGCATCACCAAGTTACGGGTCAGATCTCTGGAGAGGTAAGCTCGCTCACAGTAAGAATGTGAATTTGCAAGAAATCTTTAGTACAGTAATAATAAAAAAAAAAAAAGGAAACATCTGTAACTGAATAAAATACTAAACTAAACTACTAGACGAAATAAATACAAGATACATATGTTGAAACATCCCATGCGCAGAATTAAAATCTCCATGTTTGCAGACCCAGTCAGAAAAGTTACTTAGTGCATCTTTAAACTGTGTCCAGGGCTGGAGAGACTCTTGGTTTGCCCTTATGGTATTGGAGTTATCAAAATACTACTTGAAAAACAAGTTCTAAACAAGTTCTAACCCCTGGAGCAGAATTACTCAGCAGGTTGTATCTCATGTCAGTACTTGAAAGGACAAAACAATGCATCCTATCATAAGACATTTTTTAATATTGTAATTAGCAAAACTGATTTTTATCAACAATTTTGGCACGATTTACCTTAAGAGGTCTTGAATGTTCCAGAGGAGAAACAGCAGACACACGACAGGTTTACTCTGCATCTCCTCCAGCAGGATCACCATTATCAAGAGCACATTCTTCTCTGTGACCTTCAAATAAACACATTCACTAAATATAAGTATAATTTAGTAAACAAGATAATAACCAGAGGTGGGTAGAACTCAGTCACATTTACTTGACTAACAAAAGCTTCATGTTGACAGTATTAGAACATCAGAACATTAAATCAGAACATTTGTGTTTCTTGCACTGCTCCTTCAGATATTATATTGTCGTGGTAAATGGAAAATACCAAATTTTTAGCATTTATTTCTTGTTTTGTCCTTACAGTTACATTGAGATATTACGTCCTGACAGTTACTCTTACATAAGGCTGTGCAATTAATCTGCTTTTGATCGTGATTTCAGTTTGTGTGTCAAATAATCTCCAAACTCATATACTCGAGTTGGAACAATTTAAAGCTTAACAAAGTTTATTTTGGGATATTTTTTATATAAATAAGTATATTTATTTAATTTTTTACACATAGAGATTGTAGAACAGCTGGATATATAGTTTATTTTGGATACATTTATGTTTTCTATGCCTTATTTCATGTTCAAAGTTTATTTTATTCGTTTTATGTTTTATACATCGCAAACCTTCTCTAAAGTACAGATTTGTAACCTGAATTTATTTTCAATTTGAAAGTTCTACGTAAATTATTAATAACAAAGTGTTTTTCTTGAGAGATGCTGAATAAATGCATTGTGTAACAAAAAAATAATCCTTTGAATAATCATGATTCGTGATTTGAATATTGATCAAAATATCATTATAATCGAGCAGCCCTACCCTTACAATTACTCATAGTTGAATACTTCTTTCTAATATCATGGGCCATTGCTTTGTACTTTTACTTTAGTTACATTACTCTGAGCACAGACCTGTATGAAGCGTGGCAGGAGTCGGGCTTTCTCGATGCCGTCTGCGATGTGGAAAAGCTCCAGGAAAGACAGCAGCTGACACAGACTCATGACAAAGCCGACCGAGTAAAACGTGTCCGCCAAGGCATCTGCAGAATCACAAAAATATGACACATTCCTATGAAAATATTGTGTTGTTTTTACTCCATAAAACCACATTAGAATAGAATATTAACATGAGACTTTTTAGCACAAGAAAGTATTAATGTATATTTTTTTAATTCAATGTATTTTTTGGTCAATCAGCATCAAGTGGGAGTACTTGCTTACATTATCTCAAAAGCTTTGTTATTTACTACCCCTTCAGTTTTAGTTTTCTGGAAATGTGCATTAATTCATGTTTGTCCATCCAGTTACATTCACTTCAAATTATAGATTAGATGTTCCGTTTAGATACTGATTTTGTTACTTTTACTTGAGTATTTCCTCAGACCACTACTTTATACTTGTACTTGAAGTAAAAGTAATAGCTTATTTGATCAGTGTTTCCCAAATTTTTTTTCTGGGGACCCATATTTTAAAAGTCACAAAGCTTCGTAAATTTGTAAATCACTAAATAAAGGTGGATTTGAGCATTATTGAACGTTAATGAGGATATTTTATTATTGACCGAGTGATCATGTCTCTCTGAACAACAAAAGAAACAAATAAAAACACTAATTGAATCAGCATTAAAAGGTAAAAGTTGACTATTTGGACAAGAAATGTATCCCATTTCTTTTTCTTTTCAACATTCAATTGAACCAGCAATACTGGAACAAAATAGTCAATAAAATAATTACAAAAAGATTAGAAATTATACAAAACATGTCTTTGTAGGACGTTCCAGTCTGGGGTGCAGGAGGAAAGCTAAACACGTATATCAGGTGACCCAAAAAAAATCTCTTGCCACCCACCTGAGAGTTGCGACCCAGTCTTTGGGAAACAATGTACTAGAGTATTATTTTTGGCTACTCTGCCCTTTAGACTTTGACTTTCACTTTAATTTTTAATCATTTCTACTGCACCAATCTTTAGACCCATACAATGTTGTTCACTTTCATAGTTTTATACATTGTTCTCTGTTAGAATTTAAAAATGAGTCAAAGTGAATCTACCTTTCCCGAAAGTCAAAAACCTGGCGATGGTGTTGGTGAGGATCCACGTGTGTCCACAGAACTGCAGCAGGTTGTACACAAAAATGTAGGTGAGCCTGAAGCTGAGCCTGCACACAGAGGACAGGGATGTAAAGCAAAAATTTAATCATTATAAGCTTGAGTTTACTAATATGCCATGGATCTAGGGGTGTGCAAAAATATCAAAATATCGATATACCGTGTCATTTAATGTGCTGATACAGTATTGAGGCTATTGTGGGGTGTATTTTTTGGTATATTTTTCTCAATTATTTTATTACAGAGCCACAGTTTTGTTGTTTGTTTAGAGGAAGGAAACTCATTTATGCAACACATTTGACATTTTCACTGTTTTGAGGATTAAAATGTTTGTGTTTCATATGAACTTTGCACAGGAAGTGGTTTAACAAAGACTTTTAATATCACAGCCATCATTTAGCCTTGAGTTTTTATTGAACCATATCGAATCGATTTGGAATATATCGTATCGAATCGAAAGCTCACTGTATCAAGATATGTATTGTATCATGGTCTACGTTTTGAGGTATTGTAGCAACATCTTAATGATACCCATCCTTACAAGGATCAGTTCTGATTCTTGTTCAAACAATGGACGACAAGAAAAACACACATTAGTTTATATTTTTTGTAAAAATATAATCAACTCTGGGACCATAGACTGTACACCTGAGAGGAGCACTATGTAACTTTTTGCTTGTGGGTCCTGCGTTTTTTTTTTTTCTCGATGTGTTGGTCGGTCTTTGTTTGGTCTGCCTGGAATGTTCCACAATATGACTTTAAACAGCTCAACCTTACATTTATTCAATTACAGGTGGTTTTATAGCTCAAAAATACCTAGAAAAACAGGCATTCTGACTGTGAGCGGGGTCATCTCTCCACAGATCTGACCTGTAAAATGATCTGGTTTGGGTAGAATGGTTAAATACAATACTGTGAAATGTTCCAAAGCAACAACATCTCTGACCCTCTACCAGAAAAGTTACACAATGGCTCTTTAACGCAAGACCAATAATAGTATCAAAGCAATAACAATTAGAAAAGCAAATGACAGACATTGTATTAGAAAAGTTACACAGAGCACCTTTAATGTTGCCAGATTGTTCACTTTTGAGATAGTTTGAATAAATACTACTACTACTACTAATACTACTACTACTATTAATACTACTACTAATACTACTACTACTAATCTACTACTACTAATATTACTAATAATACTACTACTAATACTACTAATACTACTAATACTACTACTACTAATATACTACTAATACTACTACTACTAATACTACTAATAATACTACTACTAATACTAATAATACTACTAATAATACCACTAATACTACTACTAATACTACTACTAATACTACTACTAATACTGCTACTAATACTAATAATGCTACTAATAATACCACTAATACTACTACTAATACTACTACTAATACTACTAATACTACTACTAATACCACTAATACTACTACTAATACTAATAATACTACTAATAATACCACTAATACTACTACTAATACTACTAATACTACTACTAATACCACTAATACTACTACTAATACTACTACTAATATTACTACTAATACTACTAATAATTCTACTACTAATACTATTACTAATACTACTACTACTACTACTACTACTCAACTAAGTAGTTACCTTTTTTTGAGTGTCCATTGTCTTGGTTTATTATGTGACTCTGCCTGTGCTATGAGGAATAAGACGTACCGTGCAAACCTGCAAAAATATGTCCATGTCACCAAACCATAAACTTCTCCATGGTCAACACAGACGTCAGGAATAAACAAGCACGTTTCACTGCAGCAGAGTTGTAAATATCAGGGATTCCGGTTCCACGCTGTCCGTGCTCGCAAAATGTATTGCACAAGGTCATGCTGTTATTTCAGATCAGTTTACACTTGGTTTGTTTTAATGTATAAAAGCTGAAACAGAAATTGAAAGTGCACATGGCAAGTTTGTTCATTCATTTATCATTAGTACATTGTTTGGTGAGATAGTACCTGTAGTAAATAGAGGCCACATATGAAAATGATATTGCAAAATAAATTGAAAAATTGCAGGAAGTAAAGCTAAGTTATAAAACAAACCGAAAAACTTGTTAATGCAAAGACTAGACTTTTTTGTGACCCTACATATTTTATTTAACAGTATAAAGTTGTTTTCATGTATGTAAGCTGCTTATCATAATAATAAATATTGTGTAAATTAGGGTTGTCCTTGTGTACTGTATCAAAATCGGAATTACCTAATGTGAGTCATCTTTAACAATCCAAAAGTAAAATTATGAACAACAAAACTGACAAACTAGGGATTTTTTGTAAACACTTTTTTTTTTTCGAAAAAACTTGAAAAAGAGAAACAACTTGTAAAATGAGCTTAGCTGCATTTTTGTGAAATGAGTAGCCCAAACTCTCACAGGCACTTGTACATTTGTACAGCTGGAATTTGAGAAATGTATGAGAGTATGTATGGAGTTAGAAACAAGTACACTGTTAACAAAGATTATTACCTTCACTTCACATGAGGAACAAACCCAAACAAATAATGATGACTTAAACTGCAGTATTCCTCTTTCTTAGATGATGCATGAATTCCAAAGCAGCAGTACTGAAGACTGGACTGTTATTCCAAATCCCACCCTAAAAAACTGCATTCCTCTCCACATCTGGGACACTACTCACATTCTGCTCCTGGTCTGGTGCAGTCAGGTCCTGTAGTCAGGTCCTGTAGTCCCCGCTGATCCTCAGTGGAGTCGGGACAGGAGCATTTTTACTCCTCCGAGACGCGTTCACAATGCAGAGCACACACATGTGAAAGTACACAAATGAGAGGAGGCTCGTGTAGGAAGTTCACATTCCGAGACGGGCTGATGTCACGCTGGGCCCGCCCTTGGGTGCTCTGTACAGGGAAACTCTCCGTTGTTATGTCAGCAGAGAAGAAAGATACCTCTATAAACCTGAGAACAAGGCTAGGGGCTATGTAAGAAAGGACACTGAAGGAAAATACTGGAGTAGTGGTGTCTAAAAGCATATTTAATCCTCAAATTAAAGGGTCTATATCACACTGCTTTCTGGTCTATGTTATAATGTTGTTTCCTCATAAAAAAAAAAGTTGTGTTTTGTTTCATTCACACATGTTTATCGCACAACACCTGCACCTGAAAAACACTCAACTCCAGGTATGTTTTTGAGGAGGTAACAACATTCTGACATGACTTAAAGTTCACAAGAATCAATTTTTGTGTAATATAGGACCTGTTTTGTTTTTGTTTTTGCTAGTATCATTTAATATAAACAAACGTAGATTAATTCCTTTTCATTTTGTTAATTGTAAAGAGGTGGATTGAGGTGCAAAAGTAACAGACCTTACACTTCACCATGGCAAGCAGCAGATTTTCATTTACGTGTTTTTATTGTTGACAGTTTTGGCCCTACATGTACGACCCAGACTCTTTAATCTTCACAAATATGTACATAGAAGTGGGCGGAGATAGGGGGTATAGGTGTAAAAGATGATTTTCTGAGCATTCAAGCCTCAAAAAGAAAGCCTGACTAAGCAAATGATAAAGTAACACCAGTATACACCATTATCAAAGCTTGCAAAGATGAATTTTGTCCCCTTTAAGCCAAAATGTACTAGAAGACACAGTATCTCTGTCCACCAGTGTATACAGCACTGTGGTGAACTTGAACTGGAGATATTTTACTTCAACTACTACTTAATTTACTTGTTGACCTGCTTTATGTTCTCAAAATACTGGTATAGCTCTACTGGATGAAGAATGAATGAATGAAAAGCTATCCGGACCAGACTTTTTAACATTTTACCCCAAATTTTGTACCTAACTTACTAAGATAGACACAAAATCATGTTAAATTCAGGCAAAACTGTGAACTTATTCAAGCTATTTGATCGGAAACAGTGAAATGAACCCTGTTAGTTACCTGCTTTTCTGTTTCTCTTCCATCAGTGCCCCCTGGTGGTCATCAGTCACAGACAACAGGAGCTCACATCAGGACCACGCGAGGATCACAGGTAAATAGAGTGCACAAAACATCAAAAAGCATAATAAAAAAAAAAAAATAGACGATGTTATATTTCATGGTTGTCTGACACTGCAACTACTCTACAATAAACTCATATGTGTATCTGTCCAATGTGTATTTTTCATAATTGTTTATTGAATATACTGTGCGTAACCTTCAAAAAAAATAAAATAAAATAAAGTAAAAATATTGGTAGCCTTCTGAACTAAGTGAACATGCACTATGACATTATGACATTTTATTAAGAACCCGCAGAGCTGTGACCTAACCTTACCTCACACATGGAAAGTACATCAGCTGTTTTTTAAAGCTATCATGGCCCGTCTTGGGTTACACCACATTCACCAGCAAATTATTTACTCGACAATTATGCACAACACAACAGCTCCCCTCTCCCTTGTTTAGAATTTTTTAAATTTTAATTTCACTCTATAACTTTACAGTTTTATTCTGTTCTTCTTCATAATAACTACACCTTAGAGAGCCTTAAAAGTTTGAACCGAGATATTAAGTCTGCATCATTTGTTCGTTATGAATTAAGTCTTAATGTCCGATGTCTGATGTTTTATTAAAGCTTGTTAAAGTGTCACCAGTTAATCTTGATCATCAGACGGCTCAGAATTACCTCGCCAACTCGCAGTTAAATGAGACATCTCTCTTAATAGCCAGATACTGTTTAATAAGACAAGACATGTGACTTTTCTGGTGATGTGTCTGCCAATTTTGTCTCAAGGGAGCCTGCAATGTTCCTCAGTATAGTATGAAACCGTTTATCTCCATGGAAACAAACAGGAGACAAGCAAAACTAAGTTACAGGTGCCTGTAGAGCAATTAAATAACTGCAACATAAATGAATGATTGCTATACTTGTCAATGTGCAGAAAAGAAAAATATATATAGCAACTGATTAGTATAATTTAAAGACTGGGAGAAATTTGAGTTAAAGGATGAATAATGAAATACGTATTGTAACAGGCAATGCTTGGTAATTTTTTCATCAGTTAATTTTATCCTCATGGAAAGGCAATGAAGGTTATTAGAATATTGATTAGAATATTATTGTCACTTTGAATTATTTTACCTCTTTTTTCATATATAGAAGTTGCAAACCGGTAAACAATTTCCATGAGCAAGTTAGGAACTCTGCTCCAAGACACAGACCTTCTGCAACAGTCAGATGCTTTGAGAGGACAAAATAAGACATGAATTAAGGACAGAGAACAATTGTGACCCCCCACCATATGGATTTACAGTACACTAGCCTGACTGAAGTGTTATTTTTGACATTGGACATGTTCAATGGAGTTTTTGACACCATTGAGATCCCAAATATGACTCATTTGATGATGACAGGACAGAGTCCTTGTAATAATTTGACTACTTGATTTTTATACCTCCAGGTTGTGGCAGTTAATTGCTTTTAAATACAGTAAAGGTCAAACGAGGAGAAAATTCAGTTTGTCGACTGGACAAAAGTTAGTTTGGTTGAAGACGTTTCACAGCTCATCCAAGCTGCTTCTTCAGGTCTCATCAGATGCTGGTGACACTTCCTTGTATCTGCAGGGAGGAGCTAACTAACTGAAACTAACACATCTACTTGTTTACAGTTTCTGTTTGTTAATTCGGCCAATTGACCTGTACAGGGTGTGGGGTCTAATTAGCATAACAATTCATTGCCATAAAGGAGTTTCCACACCTCTGGACCTGACTTGGCTGCACCTTTTGTTCTCTTGTTTGTTTTGATTTAGGTTTGAGGATGGAGTTGTAAATAGGAGATCGATGGTGTCTGAGGCCTCCATTTCTGTTTAGAGAAGGATCTCTCTTTCTTAACAAAAATGGCTTCTTTCACTCCCCTCTCAAACCAATTCTTTTCTCTGGCTTAAATCTGTATTTCGCTGTCCTCAAAAGAGTGGCCTGTGGCTTTTAAGTGGAGATGTACAGCAGACTGAGGTCCACTGCTGCTCTCTCGTCTGTGTAGGTACATCCTCTTGTGAAGTGGCTGTTCAGTTTCTCCAATGTAGCATTCACTGCACTCTTCACTACACTGAATGGAGTAGACCACATTGCTTTGTTTGTGGCTCGGTGTTTTGTCCTTTGGGTGGACCAGTCTCCGTCTTAGAGTGTT